TAATATTGGAACATCCACGATGGCTTTGATTCGGCGAACGCAAAAGCTAGCAGACCTGAGAACTTCTGCTCTCCTTGCAGATCAGGCGGCGGCAGAAGGGGGCTACCTCATGCCTACCTATCAATGATTGGCCTAAGGACCAGATACACATACGCATGCAGGAGCGGCAAGGCATGTAAGCTCGAATCCATCAATAGAATAAATCACAGCAAGCTTAGCGGGATCGGCATGGGCGGCGAGCGACATGAACACGCCGAGGATGGACTGGGAGCCGCTTCGTGGCCATAGAGCTGGCCGGCCACTGCCAGCACGTATTGCGGGTCGCTGCATGAGAGCTTAGGATGCTGTGACTGACAGCTTCATCCCGCCTGGGGATCAAAGGTTCTGCAACGCGCTCCCGTCAAGCACATGCCGTTCAGGGCGCCATGCAGCGCAGAGGGACCTGTGAAGAAGCTCGCCTTACCGAAACATGCCAGCTCGCGATGCGATACGACGCTGGTTCGTATCTCCACAAGGCCATGCCATTTCACCAATATCTCCTGTTGGGCGATGAAGTGGCCGAAGTCCCTATCGACCCTGAGAAAGTGAACAGACGCTGACTGCATGTGCATGCGTCCGGTTGTCTGATGCAATCGAGAGCTGACGCGCCGATGCTTACCTGTACCTGTACGCGTACGCCCACGGTCCAGCCGCCGTTTACGATATACTTAGTACTGTCTATTATTGTTACTTTGAAACAAAAGAAAGCTCATAGAAACAAGTACCCGAGCAATCCACGTTGCAATAGCCTTTACAAGGTTCGTAGAGGAAGGAAATTGACAGCTTAGGTGAGCCGATGCAGTGAGCAGCGGCAAACACAGACGGGCGTGACTGTCTGAGCTTGCATATGGCGGGTTGTATGGCGGGCCAGGCATTTTTCCAAAGGAAACAATAAAGTGGAATATGGTGCCGGTGGCAATACTGCTTGGAGAACGGACCAGAGCAGAGCACCCTGCGTATGAGCAATCGCACGCAGGACAAGCTGCTTGGGCGGCGTGCCCTTTCTAAAGCACACTCCAGGAGATGGTCCGATTTCAGTGCTGCGCATGCATGCACGTATTTGCAGCTGTACGCGACAAATCCTACGCAAACGTTGTCGTGCCATTGCAGACAGAGTACTCAGTCTTCGCAAGCCATACTTGCGATGGCATCCGATCTGTTTCCCCCTCCCATCCGCCGGAACTGGCTCCGGCATGGCTGGCGGTCACGGCTCATCGTCGCCCAGTGGATCATATGAGCTTCTAGGGCGTCTAGCTAACTACCTACCTTGTGCGAGTGCTACCCATATGTTCATGCAAAGTATGGAGTGCGAGTGCTCGTTTCGTCCCGTCCCGTGTGTCACAGAGGGAAAAGTTTACGACGACCCACCCGATGGCTCGATCTGGTCAGACTTGTGCGGCTGCCGCTACAGAGTATGCATATGGTTCATACAGTATATACAACGTCATTCCGAAGGAGCCATAACCCACATAAAGGATGAAGGGATGCCGGTAAAGCTCTGAAGAACAGCATCCAGATTCCTGGTTGGATCACGATCGGGTGGCTCAAGGCCGGCAGGCTGCCTTGGCGCATGATTGACCGAAAAGGAAGACATTTCTCCGCTCAGGGCCCTCATTCGGCAGTAGTGGTGAAAGCTACAGGTATCATTAGTATGCAGGGAATGTTCGCCACGGCAGCTTCGGCGACCAGCCTCGCTCTGCTGTTCCGAGCAGGCATGGATAAGAAACAGTTGCTACTTTGGATGGTAAGTCAATTCCCCCCTGGTCGCTGACTATTATCAGGTACTATTACTAGCATTGCCTTTTCCAATAGCTTGGTACCCGAATCCCTGCTGATCCTACAGGCTCCCACTCATTGATCCCTTGCCTCGGGTTTCTAATCTTTTTTCAGCCCAGATGTCCAGCTAGCAAGGGTACTGCTGCTGCTGTTGGTGGTTTTTTTTCTTCTTCTTCCTTTCTGCCTTTTGGGTGGTGGGCTATGCCATATACAGAGCGCATGAGTTACGACAGGTCGTGTCCATGCCTGGTACTTCTACCTGGTACTAGTACTGCCACTTGCTGAATTCAAATGGGGGAGGCGTGTGCATTGGAAAGACGGGATATGGCCTAATGCGCGCGCACATACGGTCTCGTGTACCGTAAAACGATTCCAACGCAGAGACGGGCGCAGAGGAGAAAGGCAATCAGCTCCGTGTCCACCCCAGCCCGTTTTGTGGACAATCTCAGGGGGGCCGGGAAGTGAAAATCTGGGGAAATGCCATGCTCTTTGATGCGTAGCTCCCTCCCTGCTGGGTCCCCGGTAAGCACGACTTGTTGCTGTGCCTGGCTAGGCCTCCCACTAGTACCAAGGCCCTCCGGATACATACTGCTAACCAGCGTGCCGGAGACGACCAAAACTACAAGTTATGTTGGCTTTAGCATACGGGTAGCCCGCGGCCTGTCGCGAGATGACACCAGGAACCGCCATCTAGACCGCAGATCAGAAAAGAACTACTGCGTAGCAGAGAAAAAGGCAAAAGACTGCATTAGTTTTGGACAGCGCCAGTGCAATCTAGACTCAAGCGAGCCTAGTTTTGCCCTTTTGCCTCTCTTCAGGAGCTTGGCTGGGAAGAGCGGTGGACGATGCTCGTGATAGGTCACCGTGAGTGTGAAGCTGGTAGTTCTCACATATCAACGTTACAGCTACTCGTATCAGTTACACTGGCCACAGAGCCAGCCGGTCGTTGCTTTAGGCAGAGAAGGCACTGCAGTAAGAATAGCAATTTTCCGGGGTCTGGGAAGTAATCCTCCTGAGACAAGCTGCTTACAGTATGGTGCCCAGCTGCTATGAGGCTATCCCCTGTGTGTATCTATTAGTCTACACGGCAGCTGGGAACGGAGGGTTTCCCGTTGCTGCCTTGTTGTGTATGTGTCGGTATTAGCAATACTAATACAAAATACAGTTCTATCGCTTTTTTACAAACAAAATGAAACAAAAGAGGCTGACGTGTCTTTGCAAGGCTGATGAATATCATGCACTACTGCAAAGACAGGGCAGGGGGGTGCTTATTTGTTGTTGTTTTTTATACTACTACATGTACTACGACCGGGAAGAAAATCCTTGTAGGTTGTGCTGCTAGGAGCAGTAGTACCGTCCTTCCTGCCTAGTGTCTCCGCGCGCCGTCGAATCCGTCCGCGGAAAGAAAGATCACGATGATCATGTTGCGATTGGGGGCAGGGGGGAGGGTGGTCGCTTGTTGAGTTGATATGCATGCACCACCACACTACGGCTACCAGGTACTGCTACCGGTACCGAGTACATACTACTGCCTCTAAGCATGACCTACCTCTCTACTCTTACGATTAGGCAGGGTAGTTCTCGTACTGGGTAAATGTTGGCAGCGGGTAGCAGTCTTCTTGGCGAATGCAGATTGTCGGGAAGGGGAGGGGCTGGGCAAAGGAAAGAGTCCGAGAGAGCTGAACCGAGCAGAGCTGAATTACAAAATGGACGAATCAATGACTCGGAGTAGGGATGCTTGGAGAGGCCGGTGAGTCAGGGGCCAGGCTCTGTCTGGGATGTAGGCAAGGGAGGCAGAGGCAGCGAAAGATACGAAGTATATACATCTCAGGTCTAGGCAAGGAGGGAGGGGGAAACAGAAGGAAAGAAGGCTAGACAAGTATCGGACGAGAATGGCGAAAGTGCTAATGCATGTTGTTGTTGTTGTTGTCGTTGTTGTTGTTGTATCTTGTTAACTTCTATGAATTTGTATACAGTATAAGAGAGGCGGCAGTATAAAGTCGTAGATGGCGGTGAGAGCCGGTGTTAATGGGGGCCGTCGAATACCGAAGACCAACGGAGTTTGTCTCACTTTGCTGGTTGATCTGGCCGGGATTGGGCTGTACATGGAAGTTTTTGATGGAAGTCCTTTTGTTAGCGAGAATCAAACCTCAATGGAAGAGAGATATCATATGAGACGAGAAACAAAGTAATGCAATTTCTTGGTAGTTACGGCAACACTAATAACTCAATTGCAAAAAAAAAGGCAAAGAGCAAGAAGAAGAAGAAAGGTAGAAATTTGCCACCCACCCCCTTGTGAATAGAGTAAAGCCAACAAGATAAGAAAATATTGAGAAGGAAAAGAGAAGAGAAAAGAGAAACTCGCCCGGTTTCCACACAGCCATCTCAGCATGCAAGGAACGAGTCATGACAGCAAAACTATTGGAAGGATTGGAGGGAAATTGCACACCTCTTTTTTTTTTCTCTCTTTTTTGAGTGTGGTAAGTAAAGTTTTTTATTTTATATTAAATTAAATTACCAATTTTTATTTAGGGTAAGGTAATGTAGTATCAGATATTCAAGCAGAAAAGGATAGCAAAAAGTTGTTTGTTCACATGGGCTGTATGTTCGCACATACCGGGAACTGCCATCGGCAGATTTTGGAAAATCATTCTAGAAAACAAGGTTGTATACGGAGTAGAGGCGAACTGACAAGGATTAAATGTCTTTTGACGTCTCGGCAAGTTTTAATTGAGAAAAGGAATGAGAGAAAACACAGAGAATCCCAGAATAGATAAAATTACGACATGCCTATTGCTTTCTTCACTGTGTAATAAAGGGGGGAGATGAAGTGGCAAAAAAGGCCTCCAAAAAGAGAAAAAAAGAAATTGGACGAACGGGGAATCGAACCCCGGACCTTTCCCATGCGATGAAGCTGAACCCGAAGGTCGCTTGATGCTAAGGGAAAATTATACCACTAAACCATCCGCCCATGTCTTGTTATTGGAGGTATCGCGAGGACAAGAATCTGATGAAGCTATCGCGCGAAAATCCTGACCTTTGCCCAACCTTTGCATCTATCCTCTGTAAGAATTGGGAAAGGTCGACAGGGGAATAATTGATAGAAAACATTGTGGTATTCGAAAGCACATTATAGAAGAGAAAAATTGTTCATCGTATTCATTCGTTCATTGCGCCAAGTTCCGTCATCTAGCTAACGGCTCTTTGGCTCTAATCTCCTTGATTGTTCCCCTCGTTCTCGCATTGTCCTCAAAGCTGGCATGAATCAGATCAATTACCTCGTCCACCGTGAAATACAGGCTCAGCTCGCTGTCACACCATAAATATTTGACTTCATTGAGGTTACTCTGCAGCACTTCGCCGAGATACTTGAGACGCAACCAGTTTGGCGCATATTGAGCTGTTGTTGGCATTTCGTCTGGCACTGGTGCAGTACCAGCCAGCTTGCTGGGTATAAATAAGTCGTCAAGCTCTGTTGCCGTGGCAATGAGCTGGGCAATGCTAAAGGCCTCCTCTTGTCCAATAGAAGACATCTCTAGCACGTCTGAGATAATTCGCGACGCAAGTGAGTCTGCGAGTGACCCGACAGCCTGAGACCACACAGATCTCTTCAAAATCGGCTCCCAGATCGCAGCAACGTTTCGAATTCGTGCTGTTCCAGCCTCGATCGAAGAATCTTTGTCGTCTTGCTGCGCTAGGCTCTGCAAACCTCCAAGAAGGTCGTGCAATATCGTCTTCTGGAGGCTCATTTCATTTGCGTAGCTGCGGTTCGCAAAGCTTTTGAGTGTCCTGACATCATTGTCGATACGAAGCATGCTCCGTGCACGAGGCGTTAGCTCCTCGCGTTGTTTCCAGGTCAGTGAAAAATCAGATAGTTTCTCCGCTAGATACATGGCATCGTTGTATAGGAACCTGCATCGTTTGTTAATTATATGATGAGGTTGAAAGTTTGCGGCGTTACTGGACTTACATGTTGCCTCCAGCGTCTGACGAGTAGTAGTGAGGTGAAATGGCTCGGAATAGTGCCAATATGAATGTAGGCAAGCTGAACAAGCCAGGTGCCGTCACGGTTAGCAGACTGTATTCATCACTGTCCTTTGTTAGAGCCGCTGCGTCTTCCAGGACGGAGAATATCAGTTCAAGAACGGGTTCGGGCATTGATGAAATGCTGTATGTCTCTTTGAAGACCAGTTCTCGTGTTTGCTCTCTAGCTTTCAGGCTTGGTCTCGCCTTGTGAGTTGTTGACGTAGGTGCCGGAGCGGGAGCTACAGGAGCAGCAGTGTCGCCATCATCACCCCAGCCCCAGGCATCGGCGCCATCATCCTCGTCTGGTGTTTTAGCAGGATTCTTAGCTTCTGCTATCTGGTTCGCATCTTCGTTTGCATCCTCGTTATCCCCCCAACCCCATGCATCAGCACCGTCATCTCCATCCTCTGCTTCGGTAGCTGCTGTTTGCGCCGGCTCTTCTTCTTTTTCCTTGCTCGCATCTTTATTCGTGTCCTCGTTATCATCCCACCCCCAGGCATCTGTCATTTCGTCATCGCCTCCGCCAGGCGCATCATTCTGGTCGTTCGCCTTGTCATTATCCCAAGCTTCTCCCCAGTCCTCGCCCCAGTCGTTTGTATCAGCAACAGCTCCGGCTCCCGTTCTAGATAACTCCTTACCCTCAGCTATGGAAACCATCTGTCTTTCAATCTTTTCAACCCGCTTTGACTGTCCAATGCCGCTTGTAAGATTAAGTCGGACGCTGTTGAGGGAAGTCTCTCTGCATTTTTCAAGCCATATTGTAGGTGCTTTACTGGCCCAGTCTTGAATCTGTTCAAGGCCAGTGTAACCACTACGTTGTAACTCCTCGCAAAAGTATTTCAATTTTGAGACCAAGGCCTGGAACTGATCCAAGTCCCTGAGTCCTGAAGGAACAGCAGGGTTCAGCCATTCTCGGGTCAGTTTGGATACGATGTCGTTCATCATAACATTTACCAAGGGTTGCAGTAAATCTGCAGGTAATTTCTGAGAAATAAATGTCAGAATCCGCTCGAGATCAGACAAAAGAGACTCTACTGAGCCATCGGCAGACCCCGCAAGCTCCAGCACGTCTCCTTCTACTTTGATGCCCGGGATGTTTGATCTCATAGTATCCATGCGTGGTGATACCACTGCTGTATCCAAATTGTGCCACAGCTGCTCCATTCTCTCGTCAACCTCTTTATAAGCTTGTAAGCCAATAGCAGCATCTTCCAGACTCATTTTTTCATCTGTCAATTGTGAGCAAAAGTTGCCCAAAGGGAGGAAGATGTATATGTAAGTTGCATGACAGACCTTCGCGCGTATTGTAAATGGCAACTTTGCCAGAGTCGGTATCAATCTGCACAAGGGTCTTCCAGACATGGTCAAATACTTGATGAATGTCAGATTTCAGCTCAAATGCTCTCAAATCCAACAGCTTCATGACTCGGGTTGTCTTGCTGATCCCCATGCCGTCAAGAGCTGTCCAAGATTCTTATTCCAAGTTAGCCACAGTTTATTGAAAGAATTGGGAGAATACACACTCTCAAGCAGCCGCAGCGAATCCAGAACGCGCCTTTCCCGACTTGCCTGCTCGACGTCCGTGAGGAGCTGGTTCACATGTTGGATCCGTCGCAAGACGCTGTGCATCTGCTGGCTGTATTGGACCTCTCGGTTTAGAAATTCGGCTTTCTCTTCTGCGTCTTGGATTGCTTCTCCCGTTACTTCAGGGGCCTCTGATTGGAGGATGATCTCATTGGCGATGGTTTTCGATCGAATGATGTCCTCCTGTAAGACTTTTGAGTTTCTAACCCACGAGCTAATGTCATCTTTCGTCTCTTCGTTGATGGTATGTATTTCGGCCTAAATTACAATGGTTAAAAACAGATCCGTTGCTAACGCGACAACAGCTTCAATGGTAGCTTTGGTACCTCAATATCCACTTTGGCTTTATCCAGAGCTGCAATCGTAGGGCCAAGATCAGTCCCTGAAACGGCTTGTAGTGCGGCTGCATCTTCGGGGAAGTTCCCGTCCAAAGTAAACGATACAACGGCGCTGCTGAGCTGCTGCGGCTCTGTTGCTGTCGCCATGGTAGCGTCCACAATAACCCTTGGAAGCCGCAGCTATGACGGATGATTAGGCGACTGTCTGCCTGGTGACTCGATGAAAATGGCAAGGATTAGCCTTATTAAATAGCATCAATGCCGAATCAGGTATTATCTGGCATCGCAGGACATGGTAGCAAATCGTTGTGGCTGAAGGCGCGTCAATTTGCGCAAATCTGGTGAGGTTCGCCTTTTTTGATGATGCCAGCATTTGAGCTCTCAGGTACCAGGTCGTAGCTGGCAACTTCAACGTCACTCGGCGTCTGCTGCGCCACATGCAGCTGAACTGGGCGCCTCAGCTTATACACTGACAGGTGGCTGGCGGCGTGTGCGCCTAGGCGGCTAAACCCCTCTTTCTGTGGCGCAGGCGGCCACATGTCACTCTCAACTGCTTCTCTGGATACCCCACCAACCACCAACCACCAACCAGCGCAAGCAACGGGCTCCATCTGGACGAAACAAAGCACTTGGCGGTACGTACTTTGATATTGTTCTGCTGTTGGCAATCCTTCGACTAGACAGGGATCAAGTGTTGAAAACCCTTTGCTGTCAGACGCGAGAGACTTGCAGACCGTTGGGCTCGTCTTCTTAGGCCGGAGGACATTCCATAAGCAGTCTCGACAGCCCCTCATCTTGGATCGCGGGCAGAGATCTTCTCCCTTGCACCTCCAGTAGTTGGAGCTCACCAGAAATCAGTCAAGGAGAGACATCGCTCAGGACGTTTCCTCTTTTACGGACAGAGCGTGGTTTGCCCTCTCTTCACTTGCTAGGGCGTCGTTGTGTTTGGTGAGTCGCTGAAACGAAACATCCCACATGCCCTCTGCTTCTTGTGTGTTTTGCGAACCGCCTCACCGATCCGCTCATCGTCAACTGCCCGCATTCTCGTATTGAATAGTCTGAGTTGGAAGTCATCGTTTGGCTTCTGCGCAGCACTGCTGGAAGACTCTCTTAGATGCTTCCAGCTAGGTTTACGAATGTGATCTTACCGCTTATTGTCGCCATCATCAGCGTCGGCGGGTACTTCCTGTTCATCGGCGACTATGGCCAATCTGTCTACGCATTCCTGGAAGGCCACCTGCTGAGGTTGGTTCCTTCTATACTCCTCTGTCTAGGTGGTCCATGCAGGCATCATTTGCCACTCCTGTCTCTGTGCACAGATTCTTTGAACCCAACCCATTCTTCACAATCATGCCACTTCTCCCTCACATTATTTTCTCCTTTCTAGGCACTCAAGTGTAGTGACAAGGGGCTGGATATTGACTGTCATTGCGATTGTACTAACATACTACTGCCTAGGTCCGGCTGGAACGGGCGTTTCTACTCGCAAGACTTCAAAATGCCTTCCCAAAAGTTGAAGCCTAGCTTCCGCAAGGTGCAGAGTTTTCAGACCGACTATGCTCCCTGCACAATCACCCAATATGTCTCTGAGCGAAGTGGCATGCAGGTCGTAGTCGCCGATCGCAAGGGCCCCAAAATCAACGGCTACTTCACACTCGCTACCGAGATTTTCGACGACTCTGGTGCGCCTCACACGCTTGAGCATCTGGTCTTCATGGGCTCAAAGAACTATCAGTGGAAAGGTCTGCTGGATAAGCTGTCCTCTCGAGCATATTCTGGTACCAATGCTTGGACTGCTACCGATCACACAGCCTACACCCTTGAAACTGCAGGTTGGGAGGGCTTCGCCCAGATCCTCCCTGTCTATTTGGAGCATGTGATTTTGCCTACCATCACCGATGAGGGCGTTGTCACTGAAGTTTGGCATATCGATGGAGAAGGCAACGATGCTGGTGTTGTATACTCTGAAATGCAGGCTGTGGAAAATCGCAGTACCGAAATCATGGACCTTAAAGCTCGCCGACTTTTGTACCCAGAAAACGTCGGCTTCCGCTACGAAACTGGTGGTATGACGGAAGCTCTACGAGTACTGACCCCTGAGCGTATTCGCCAATTCCATCGCGATATGTACCAGCCGCGCAACTTGTGCATAGTCATTGTCGGCGAAGCAGACCATGAGAATCTCCTGGAAATACTGGATACGTTTGAAGAAAGTATCAAAGATGATATTCCTGCTCTTGACTCCGATTTCAAGCGACCATGGGTAGAGTCAGCTCAACCGCCGGCTCTCAAAGAAAGCATCGTCACGACAGCAGAGTTCCCCGAAGAGGATGAGTCCGTCGGCGAGATTCTCATTGGCTTTTTTGGGCCTCACTGCGCTGATGTGCTTGCTACCTCCGCTTTGAACATTTTACTTACTTACCTTTGCGGCTCATCTGTCTCTGTGTTAGAAAACATTCTTGTGGAACGAGAGGAGCTTGCAAGCTCCGTCTCTTACTGGTGGGATTCACGGCCGAACTCACTCATTTGGCTTCAGCCTACTGGCGTAGAAACGGAAAAGCTGGAGTTTGTGGAGAAGCGCCTCTTCCAAGTCCTTAAAGATGTCGTGTCGAAACCATTGGATATGAACTATATGACAGAGTGCATCCATCGAGAGAAGCGACAAGTCAAATATCACGCTGAAACGTCAGAGTCTTTCTACTCTACCAACATCATATCTGACTACCTCTTTGGAAAGCGTGACGGCTCAACACTCAAGGATTTGGCATCAATGGCAGAGTATGATATTCTTGAGAAGTGGTCAGACGAAGATTGGCGAGCTTTCCTGAGCAAATGGATGGCCGATGCTCATCACATCTCAGTCCTGGGTAAGCCATCTCTGCAATTGGCCATCAAGATGAAGAGCGATCACGAAGCTCGAATTGCCAAGCGTAAAGAAGAGCTTGGAGAAGAAGGATTGCGAAAACTCGCCCAAAAGCTTGAAGATGCAAAGACGAAGAACGACGCACCAATTCCCCCTGAAGTCATCGATCGCTGGGCTGTCCCCAGTACAGAATCAATTCATTTCATCGAATCCGATACAGCTCGTTCTGGTCACGCCAAGGCCGTTGGACTTGGCCCTGGCCGTGCGCAGGAACTCATCAATGCGGCTCCTGGTGGCAAACTGCCGCTTTTCCTTCAGTTCGAAGATGTGCCTACCAATTTTGTGCACATTACTCTTCACCTTGGCACAGCCCAAGTCCCTGTTCATTTGAAGCCACTAATGTCAATCTTTAGCGATAACTTCTTCAACACTCACATCACGCGAGATGGGCAGCAAATCAACTTTGAGCAGGTCGTGATGGAGCTAGAGAGGGACAGTGTTGGCTATGACATCGGAAACTCTCGCCAGCTCGGCGATTCAGAAGGATACATTATTCAATTTCAGGTTGAGCCGGAAAAGTATGCTGCAGCTGTAAATTGGCTCCGTACCATGATGTTTGATTCTGTTTACGACCCTATACGCATCAAGGCTGCCATAATGAAAGCGTTGGCCGACGTCCCAGAGTCGAAACGCGACGGGCGCAGTATGTCCTCTGAGGTAGACACAGCTATCCACCAGGACAAGTCAACTCTTACAGTCGCCAGGCGCGTTCTTGTCAAGGCAGTCTACCTCAAACGTCTCAAGAAGATCCTTCAGAAGAATCCAGATCAGATTGTGGAGTGGTTCAATACAATCCGCAATTCGCTCTTCACTTTCGAAAACATCAGAGTTCTCGTTACCGCAAACTTAGAGAAGCTTCCTAACCCCATCACGACTTGGGATCCACTCTCTACAGCCTTGAAGTCACAAAACGGATCAATGGTTGCTATTCCGAAGCCCTCAAGTACCTTGAACGACGAAGGAAAAGCCCCTGGCTCTGTCGGCGCCATTATCGTCCCCATGACGGCTCTCGACAGCTCATTCTCTGTGAGCACTGCTCCTGGACTCTTCTCATTTTCAGATCCCAGGTTGCCGTCCATCATGGTGGCAATCGGTTATCTTGAGACGGTAGAGGGACCCCTGTGGAATGCTGTTCGAGGTGCTGGGTATGCCTACGGATCCTTCTTCTCACGCAATGTTGAGAGCGGAGTCATAAACTACAAGGTTTACCGATCTCCAGACGCATCCAAGGCAATTATTGCTTCGCGTGATGCAATTCAAAAAATTGCCAATGAAGAGGTGCCAATTGATAAACATCTGTTGGAAGGTACCATCAGCCAGATTGTGGTTAGCTTTGCAGACGAGCAATCCACTATGCCCGGCGCTGCCCAGCAGAACTTTATCCAGAGCGTGTTCAGGCAGCTGCCCAAAGACTGGAGCAAGGATATCTTGAAGCGCGTTAGAGAAGTAAAGGAGGATGAGATTCGACAGGCGCTAAAGGACATCATTATGCCTTGCTTTGAACCAGGCAAGAGCAATGTAGTTATTACATGCGCGAAGCTTATGCAGGAGGTACGGTTTTATTTTTCTCCTTCTTATATGAAAAAGAGCTATGCTAACATATTTCATATAGGGTATGGAAACCGCATTTAAGGGCATGGGCTACAAGGTTCAGACCCAAGAATTGAGCCACTTCCACGATGATTATGGCTTGGATGCTGGCGATGACGAGGACGATGAGGACGATGATGACGATGAGGATGACGAGGATGAGGATGAAGAAGCGTATTCGGATGAGGGGAGCGAGGAGGACGAGGACGAGGACTAAAAGGACTCGAAGATACGAGGCCCATTCTCGAATCCAAGCCAGGGGCCTAGAAAACCTGTACTGTAAGCTTCACATAGACTCACATATGATGACATGGGCAGGTAGAATCAACATAAATAGTACAACAATAGCCGTGAAAGCTATTTCTCAATCAGAATCATGATTTATTCTTGAATACCCCCCTCTTCTTCCTTACTTAAGATATCTATCTCTACACACATAGGTTTGATCTATGTCTTACAACTCATCGCGGCCACTGGCTTTGACGACGCCGTCCTCATCCTTCTCACTAGTAACGGCCTGCTCTCCCTTCCAGTTCAGGGCCTTGAGGCGTTCTGAGAGGTGGGGGTGCGAGAAATGATAGCTCGCGTACATCCAGTCGGCATCCATGGAGCTGAGGTTCTGGATTTGCAGCTTGAGAAGCGACCTGGCCAGCTCAGTTTGCATACCGAGACCCTTGGCGAAGGCATCGGCCTGGAACTCGAATGCGCGGGTGACCATGTGGAGGAGGAACTGGATAACGGTATCCATGGGAGACAGAGCGTCGGAGAAGAGAAGGAAGCCGATGATGATTGGGTGCTCGTTGTGGAAGCCGAATGAGGAGTACAGGGAGCGGTTGTTGATGAAGACGGAGAAGAGGCTGAAGACATAGAGGAGGTGGGCCTGTGATTGTGTTAGTTAGAAGGATGCTTAGATACTGCGTAGAGCAAGGCGAGAGAAAGATTATACCTGAGAGATGCCAAAGAGGCTTGTGGTGTGACCCAACTTCCAGTGGCCGAGCTCGTGGGCCAGGATAGAGAGAACCTCGTCAGTTTCGGACTTTTCCAGCAGAGTATCGTAGATGACAATGTGCTTCTTCCAAGGCAGACCGTAGAAGAAGGCATTGGAGTGAGCGCTGCGCTTGCTGCCGTCAATGACGTACAGCTCGTGCAAGGGGAAGTTGAACCGAGCAGCCAATTCATTGACCTTTGTCTTGAGCTCGCCGTCTTCGAGGGGAGACAGCTTGTTGAACAGCGGCTGGATAAAGGTAGGATACAAAGTAGTCATGAGAACCTGAACGGTGGCGGTGAAAACCCAAGTGTAAAAGACGAACTGGTTGCCAGTCTTTTGGATGATCTTGAGGAAACCAGCGAGGACGGGGGGCATCAGGACGGCAGTCAGGAGGTTGGTCTTGACGATATCGGAGACGAACAGGCCGGGCGTCTGCTTGTTGAAGCCAAACTTTTCTTCCAGGACAAAAGTGCTGTAGATCTTAGTCGGCAAACCGAGAGCCTGCTGGATGAGCATAAAGGTGAAGACGAAGACGATGGAGTGGGAGATTTCGCCGGTGAAGCGCGCGGGCGCCCATTTCAGCAGCAGGTCGCCGGTCCAGGACCACAGTTTTGGCATGACATCGAGTTGGATAAAGGCGAAGTTGACGATTTGGCCCCAGAGGCCGCTGGCGACGGAGAATTCAGCTTTGGCGCGACCGTAGGCTTGCGACTTGTCAAAGTCTTCGCGGGAGACTTCCTTGGCGAGGACGGCGGGGGGCTTGGGCGACTGGAGGACACGGTACTGGCGGAAGGTGAGGAAGGATTCGAAGACGAACTGGCCTAGGGAGAAGCCCAGGACGAGCCTCTTCCATGGGAACAGCGGGCGGTCGAGGAACTGCGACAGGCGCTGTGAGGAGAGCATTGGTTAGCTACTTGATCAAGAGGGTTGTTCAATTGGTTGATTGAGTGATTGTAACTTCTTTAGACGCACCTGTAGAAAGTCCATGATGGGCTGTTGTTTTTCTCCTGATAGAATCAGGATATCAACAGCTTGGACAGGAACTTTTCTTTGTTTATCCAGAGGACGGAAGATGGAACGAGCAGAAGCTTGGACACCGCGGGGGGGAGGCCAGGGTGGCTATAAGTGCTGCTGAGCTAATGCACGTCGCGGATAGCTACCCGATTTTTAGCTGGGTCCTTGTTTACCGTGTATGACGTGCCTTGAAAGAGCGCAGGAATGGGTCAATTGGATTGCCATGAATTTATGCTGCTGTTTGATTGTTTTTTTGGTCTTAAGCGAAATTGGTAGATGTTACTTGTTGAGATTTGCTGAGAGCAATCCAGTACATGCACATCTGGATGCTAATACCATTCGCTATAGTGGTCAATTGCAGTAAACTTTGCCTACCTATAATACTCCCTACACAGTATTAGTACCGCGTCAAGGAAAAGCCTGCAGTTATATACAAACCACAAATTACGCACACATCTCTCTGGATTTACAAAGCCGGCGAACAAGTATTACTACACGGTCATGTCCTGGATCTCGCGACCAGGTGCTCTTCTTTCGGCCAGCAACTATACAACTGTGCAACAACAAAAGACTGGCCCAGATACGTGAATAAAGGATGTCATCTTCTTGACGTTGTGAGTGGAAGCTTTCCCTACACACATGATGCGAGGGGGCCACAGTTTTCTGACACACACAGAGCATAAGTAGTCCAGTCCAGATTCAAGACTCGAGGCTTACTGGAGATGGAAAACGCAGTCATGATTTTCGCTGAGAAAGAGGTAATAATTGACAGCATAGACGATAATAACTACAGGGTTAAACCAAACACATGAATGCCGCTTTGCCAGTCAGACAATTGATACAAACCAAGTATACATTGTTCTTTCACCCATTATTTCTTCCCTTCTTCTTTCTTTTCTTCTTCTTCTCGGCCTTTGACAAGTTCATACATGTTTATGTTGGATCTCGCGGCCAGTATCAGCCCCCAAAAGAGGTCGACTACTGATGCGCGAGGCACAGTATCAAGGTCTGGCCGTAGCATAGATGGCGGCAATGTTCTGTCTAGTAACAGGTTCAGCAACGAGGGCAGAAAACTCTCATCCTTCATTCGCTGTAGCAAGTGAGAGAACATGATTGGGTCATCTTTCATTCGCTGTAGCAAGTGAGAGTACATCTGGTCTCTTGGCACCTTTGAGAGCTTGTTGATTTCCATTCGGAGTGCTGCTAGATTGACTTCTGGAGCGACCTCTGGTGCGTTTGGGTCCAGACATCGAATAACCGCATACTAGCGTCCATTCGTAGTTGGCTGAGGCGGGCGTTCCGGGCCATAAGGCACTGGGGGTCCCTGATCGCTCGGCTGGGGCTCCTCTTCAGTATCGTCATCGAACTCACTAAGCCCTTCCTCCTCGCCCTCCTCCTCGGAATATTCGCTTTCCTCGCCCTCGCCCTCTGCGGCTCCATGCTCCTGATTATCCGGGGGACACACTTCTACTGTGCTGGCCTCCACCGTGGTGGCAGTCTCCCGTGGAACTTTCCGCCCTTGTTGCTGCATCTGCTGGATGATGCTCATGAGCTTCTCGTTCTTTTTGTCGGCGGCATCAATCTTCCGCTTCCAGTCTTGCCGCTCTTCCGCCAATTGGATGATGTTCGCTGTCGTCGCCTCTTTCTGACGCTTCAGCGTCTCGTTTTCCTTCTCCAAGCGTTTGCCCTTTTTCGACATATCCTCCATTTCTTTCCGGAACGAGAGAAACAGGTCGTTGCTATTATTAAGAGTATCCTCCACCTACAACACGCAACAGGTCAGGCCTGGCTGCCAATTGCTAACCAATGCATGCTGCATGACATACCTGTTTGAATTTGTCCACGTATACGTTCAGCTGGTTCCTAAGCTCCGTCTCCGTCTTGGTGAATGCTCCGACCTGGTTCTGCAAATGGCGCGCTTTGTTCGTTTCGGCTTCGGCGTTCTTCTTCTCCCTGTCATGGCGAGATAAATGGTACTGAACTTCGAGTTCTTTGGTCCGCATGAGAGAGTGAAAATGCAGCTCGCGCAACTCGTACTGCTCAATGAAGGATTTGAATCGAACTCGGAATCTGGTTTTGTGTCTCGCCAGTTAATTCACGCGCCTCAGAGAATCGTGAGTGGGTTAAGCTTACAATTCGTCCATTTCCATGTCCACCACTTGTTTCTTTGGGGTGTCCTTTTCCTCTTGGTATCCCTCCAACTTTGATAACAAGCTTGCGAATTTTTCGTCCCAGGCGGCATTATTTCGCTTCTGCGTGCTCTGGAGCTCTTTATTCTCATTCTATGTCCCAGTGTCAGTGCGCCGTGTTGCGCCAAAGGCTCGGTAATTGTTTGCTCGAAGCGGTCGGTGCGAACCTTCATTTTGTTGTTATCTCTTTGCAGTTCCCTACACAGCTTTTCAAGTTTCTCCTTTAATCCCACCGTCTTGCTGAGTTCTGTTCGGCTAGCATCCCGTTCTTTCTGGAGAGCGTCTCCGCGTTTCTTGTTCTTCTGATTTTCTCTTTCTAGGCGTCGCATGTCGGCTAACAGTTCGCTTGAGCGCCTCATAAGATGCTCAATCTTCTGCATGTCGTCCATCTTAGAGACCTGCTGTAGAAGATCCCGATTGGCGCGCTTTACTTCTCTTTCTATTTGCGAAAACATGGACGTTAGTTGACCTGTGGTCCAAATACTCTTGTCTAATGCGGCGACTTTTGGACGCACCTATCTCCATCTCTTGATCCTTCTCTCCAGCGGCGTCCTGCTCCAGCTGCGAGATACGGGCCTGGAGGAGGCGCGAAGCTTCGGACGAATCCATCCCCCTCTTTCCCTTGGCCTTCTTCGCAGCGGGTGACGAGTGGACATGCGCATCGTGGCCATTTGTCAGGGCCGCCTCCACATGAGTTGCCGGCATGGCTCGAGAAATGCGTCAAGGAAGGGTATTTTGGCTGGGCTTGAGTCTCATCAAGGGCCGAGCCACATTGATGGAGAGCTGTAGGCGAACCAAAGAAAAACAAGAAAGAATATTTATATATATCCCGCTTCTTTCAATATAGCTGATTGTTAATCGACATATGGTTATACAAGGCGGCGTCGGCTCGAGGCTCCAGCGGACAACGGCTCCAGCGGGAAACGAGGCGGAATTGCTGTCAAAATCGTCGCTGTCTGGGCTGTCGGCCGGGCTACGGGACAATGGGCGAGCGCCGGTGCTTACAAAATACGGGCTGGCCGCGAATTGAGCTCCGGGCTGGGCGTGGTGGGCCGTCGTTGCGATCCTGACGTGTGTCGAAGTTGTCACCAGCCGGCGATGGCAGACAGGTGTAGGTGGGAGCGTGACCAGGCGGGTGGTTAATTCGTTAGAATTCTAATAGTGCGATGATGCGGCGTGCAGTGAATTTGTTAGTGCCTCAAGGATTAGGTCAGCGTCCAATATGGTGGGGTTGTTAGTGCACTAGCAACCGAGTGGCCGGAAAGACTTGGGGGACGTGACTAAGCGCTCGTGGTGGCGGGCTTTGCTAAATTTCGACAGAGTCCGAGCCAGATCCGACAGAACTGAGAACATCATCATCATCAGCATCTGATTCTTGGCTGCGGTCGTTTTATTTGCGTGGCTAAGCTGTAGGGGCATTGCGCAGCTACTCGAGCCATTCACGTCGCATTTCTTGTTCCGATGCATCATTAGAAGGTTCTCATTCATTCTTACTCGTTCCCACTTACAGACCTCGCCATGTTGCGAAACGCAGCAAATGCGGCTCGAAAGACCGTGACGGATCTCACGCTGTATCCGAAGCCTGGCGCCAAGCTCCACGGTTTCACTGTCGTCCGAGCAAAGCACGTTCCAGAGCTGGAACTCACCGCACTGCAGCTGCAGCACGACAAAACCGGCGCCGATTATCTGCACATTGCCCGCGATGACTCCAACAATGTCTTCTCCATCGGCTTCAAGACGAATCCTCCGGATGATACCGGTGTCCCTCACATCCTAGAGCACACAACTCTTTGCGGCAGCGAAAAGTAGGAGACGTTTTTTGCAGCCAACGAGAATCGACATGGCTGACAAGACCCCAGATATCCTATTCGTGATCCCTTCTTCAAGATGCTGCCCCGGACGCTTTCCAATTTCATGAATGCAATGACAGCTTCGGACCACACATTTTATCCCTTTGCGACGACAAACGAGCAGGATTTCAAGAATCTCATGTCCGTATATCTCGACGCAACACTCCATCCCCTGCTGAAGCAATCCGACTTTCAGCAGGAAGGCTGGCGAATTGGACCGGAGAACCCAACGGCTGAGGACGCGGAGGGCAAGAAGCTTGTCTTCAAGGGTGTTGTGTATAATGAGATGAAAGGACAAATGTCAGATGCGGGATATCTGTACTACATTCGATTCCACGACCACATCTTCCCTGACATCAACAACTCCGGCGGCGACCCGCAAAAGATTACGGATTTGACCTACGAGCAGCTCAAGGGCTTCCATGCCGAAAACTACCACCCCAGCAATGCCAAGCTGTTTACCTATGGAGACATGCCCCTGGCAGATCACCTGCAGGAGGTTGACGCTAGGCTGCAGGCCTTTGAGAAGATTGCCAAGGACAAGGTTATTCACTTGCCTGTTGAGCTGGACGGTCCTCGAGAAGTTACTCTCCACGGCCCGTTGGACCCATTGGTTGCTCCGGATCGACAGTATAAGACATCGGTATCTTGGATTACTGGCGATACTACTGATATAGTCGAGTCGTTCTCAGTGTCCCTGCTATCAACCCTCTTGATGGACGGGTATGGTTCGCCGCTATACCGAGGCTTGATAGAAGCTGGCATGGGCGCCGATTGGAGTCCCAATGCAGGCTACGATAGCTATGCGAAGCGCGGAATCTTCTCAATTGGCCTTACTGGCGTCCAGGAATCTGATGTTCCCAAGGTGAAAGGCAAGATCCAAGAGATCCTGCGCGATGCCAGGGACAAGGGCTTTGACCAGGGCAAGATCGACGGTACGCTTCACCAGCTCGAGCTTGCGCTCAAGCACAAAACATCTACCTTTGGCTATTCCATGCTCAACAGGCTGAAGCCGAAGTGGTTCAATGGAAGTGATCCCTTTGACTCCTTGGCTTGGAATGATACAATTGCTGCTTTCCAGGCCAAAATGGCCGAGGGTGGTTACCTGGAAGGCTTGATGGATAAATACCTGCTGAATGACAACACTTTGACCTTTACAATGGCGCCATCTGCAACCTTTGGGGATGATCTGATTGCCGAGGAACAGGCGCGTCTCTCTTCCAAAATCCAAGACGCCGTGAACAGGGCCGGAAGCGAGGAGAGTGCACGCCAGCAATTTGAGAAGCAGGAGCAAGAGCTATTGGTGGAACAAAACAAGACAAACACCGAGGATCTGAGTTGTCTGCCCACTGTCCATGTCAAAGATATTCCAAGGTCAAAAGAGCCAACGGTAGTCCGAGATGAAGTTGCAGATGGCATTCCCATCCAGTGGCACGAGGCTCCGACCAATGGCCTTACTTATTTCCGCGCCATCAACACATTGGAAAACTTGCCTGACGACCTTCGAGAGCTTATTCCTCTGTTTACGGACAGCATCATGCGCTTGGGCACAAAAGACATGACGATGGAGCAGCTCGAAGATCTCATCAAGCTCAAGACTGGCGGTGTGTCTGTTGGCTACCATTCCACACCTTCGCCAACCGATTACACTCAGTCAAGTGAAGGTATCATTTTTACTGGTATGGCACTCGACAGGAACGTGCCCGTCATGTATGATATCCTGCGCAAGCTGGTGCAAGAGACCGATCTTGACAGCCCAGAGGCATCACTGCGAATTCGACAGCTGCTGCAGGCCTCAGCCGATGGAGTTGTCAACGACATTGCCTCGTCTGGGCACCGATTCGCAATGGGCCATGCCGAGTCCAGTTTGACCCGCAGCGCCTGGCTGAGGCAGCAAATTGGCGGCTTGTCACAGGTCAAGCTGGTTACTTCGCTGACCGGCCGACCCGAGTCAGACCAGCTAGAGGATGTCATTGACAAGCTCAAGAAGATCCAGACCTTTGCATTGACTAGCGGTCAGATGCGCACGGCCCTTACATGCGGCACTGAGAATGTGCAAGAAAACTTGAATTCTCTGAAGAGCTTTACGGGCGGACTACCACGAGAGATATCTGGGATAGCAAGCAAGGGCCCGTCACCTCTCCCGAAGGACAGCAAAGCATTCTTCCCTCTGCCATATCAAGTCTACTATGGAGGCCTCTCCGTTGCCACGACATCATATACCTCACCCGATGGTGCGCCGCTCCAGATCCTTGCACAACTGCTGACACACAAACATCTCCACCACGAGATCCGAGAAAAAGGCGGTGCATACGGCGGCGGGGCTTACTCTAAGGCGTTGGATGGCCTGTTTGGATTCTACTCATACCGCGATCCTAATCCGCAGAACACGCTGAGCATTATGCGCAATGCAGGACGCTGGGCAGTGGAGAAGGAATGGAGCGATCGAGACCTGGAAGAGGCCAAAATCTCTGTGTTCCAAGGAGTTGACGCTCCAAAGTCTGTGAACCAGGAGGGTATGGCAAGATTCCTCTCTGGCATTACGGATGAGATGAAGCAGAAGAAGAGAGAGCAGCTGCTAGACGTGACAAAGGATCAAGTTAGATCTGTTGCGCAAAAGTTCCTTGTCGAACCTATTGAGAAGGGAGAGGAGCGCACAACTTTCCTGGGAGAAAAGCAAGGCTGGGTGGATGGAACGTGGACCGTTCATGAGATGAATGTCAACGGCTCCCAGGAGTAAGGAATCATCATCATCAGCACAACTAAGAATCTCCAGGTACATATTAAAACGGCGTCAGTGGAAGGGCAATGGTTGAGTATTTTTGTGATTATATGGATGTATTTACGATACAAGATGTACATTATGTGTAGAATAATTCCCCTCTTGAGGGCTTTTCCCCCTTTTTTCCCCCTCCTCTTACTTCTTCCTTTTCGGCTTCTCGAGACTTGGGACTTTTGATAGGCACAGTACGCGTTTAGATACGATACATCTTCCTGCCGAGCCGGCTTGACCGACTCACTTTCCCCATGGCATGGAGATCACAGAGCAACGCAAGAGCAAAACAATTATACCTCACTGGCGGCCTCCCTGGACCCAAATCTCTCAACGATCCCTTTCAGACTGGTGCTGGGGTGCGCAAGCAACAAGCATTGGAGCTTGAAAGAGGGGAGAGAGAGGAAAAGACGAGGAGTGACGTCGGTGAGGAGGTCGTTCTATCAGAGCCAGAGCCCCTGAGCTTTGGGTTACTGGACTAAAGAGCCGAGCACATGAGTACATTTGAATGACTTTTACGGCTAGGATGAGAGGGATAGAGAGAGGGATTAAAAGGATAAATGCCTCGATGGTTTTGATACAGGCAGGCCTAGGTGCTATAAGGTAAGATTGGAGGTAAGCGAGGGGAGGCTGTGTCTTTGTAGTTTGGGTACTTTCTATATGCTATAAATTTGTCGGAATTGAGATGTTTTTTTGTGTGCTCTATGCTTCTGTGCTGTAGTATTGTTGATTTCGTCATAGTACGGAACGCAATAGATTGGGTCTTGCAAGGATAGGGGGGCTAATGATGGCCTTGGAATAAACTGGGGAAGACGAATGGAGAAGCTAGCCATGCGAATTAGAGTTGGCGTTCTATCATTTGTGCTGGCTATAGGCCATTCAGCGCGTGCTTTTTGCATGAGATTCGTGGCAATGTTTCGGCTAAGAGGCTTGGGGTCGAGAAGCATCTTACCTTACATAGTTATAGCTTTACTTGGAAAGGCGAAGACACTGGTTGCATGATAGCAGCCTACAGTAGAATATTGCTCCTTGTGGCTATGCACAGTACAGCAAGTATCCGGCCGCTTTAAAGACGTGTCACAGCCAAGGCAGTGCAGCTTCTCCCTTACATGCGGCAATTTACCCCGGACGAGCCAACCAAGCTTGACAAGACGTTGTGGTTTTCTTTGACCCGTGCGGTGTGGCGGCGGGCGGGTATTTGCCCAAGAGAGAGTTTGCGCCTCGTGGGAATGATAAGGCGAGGCTTTGCTCGTGGCTTCATTATCAAGTACTTACTAGTATGTGGTGTCGCGTGTTTTGCTGCCAGGGAGATGGAAGCTGGACTCGGTGCTGGAAAATACTCAAGAGACAACATATAAATAGTACCTGTTGGGCTACTACTATAAGGGGGCATTTTTTGGGGGCCGTAGATGAATCGACATGGGAGTGCTCAGTTGCCTGTGATGTGCGTGTATGAGAGCTTGTATGAGTAAGTGGGTGGTACCGGGTGAGTAAGATGGACGCAAGGCACGACGCAGGACGGGAAAATCGTGCCGGAGTAGCTACTACTACTGCAAAGCAGGGCATCAAGTATTTTCTACAATTGCAGAGATGCAGCATCAGTACCTGTCGATCACCGTTGTCTGGTTAGTAGCTGTGTTGAGAGCTTCCAGACGAGATATGGCGAATCTTTTGCAACTGGTATGCTTGCAAAGTTTAGTCATAGGCACTATAATGGACAGCTGTGACGCGTACTGCATTTTCTGTAGTCAAAGCTCAATGTAGAGGCCTATGTGATTCTTGAATAGAGTGTTTTGCTACTAGATACCCAACTGTAATTGCCATGCGTGTAAGCTGCACATGATGCGCATCACAGCAGTGGTACCAGATACTGCGACCTGTACAAGCAATCCTCCGGCCCCTTGCCGTCTACACAGCGTCAATCGCAGCAAAGGCGCTGCAGCACAAAAGCTGCACGTCCCATTGGCTCTCTCTACACGCCCGCTTCATCCAGGATCCAATTTTCCGCGTCGCTCTCCAGTTACAGCATGTATCGCTGATGCAATTTGTGTTGCTGGCGCCCAATGCTAAAAAAGATTTGTGGGCAGCCTCTTCCAACCTAAAACGCCGTTCCCGGCCTACTTACTACTACTAGTAGTACGTACCTTAGGTACTCAAATTCAAACGCAGGTACGTACCGCATTACCGCACTGCAGCTTTAGAATTTTTTAATTTTTTTTTCGCGGCGATCGATTCGCAAGGGGGAGAGAAAAAGCAAGGATAAAACCTTAGCTTGACCCCTCGTCACCACCACAATTTTTCACACGCAGTCCTCCTTTTTACTCTTTTCTTACCTCTTCTTAATTCACTTTTGTGAAAAAAATAGCTCTCTTCGCTAGCTGCTGCTACTGCATCCGTCGCTCTAGATTTTGTTTTCTAGGTATGTGAGGCCTCTTTTCTTTTGAGCTCTTTCGTGAGATATTTTCTTTCTCGTGCGGTTTGCGTGTCTTCATCAGCTCTGGCTGGGCTGGGGTCAAATTCTTCCATGTTGGTGAGGCGGATGTCACCGCCACCACAAATAGAATGACTCCTCCGCCGCGAAGTGCGCCCTGAGGACCGCAAACTGTGCGGAAAGCTGCATCTCCTCGATGCCACCTCGCGATCAATCCGAGCAGCTGAAGCTAACTGGCCTCTGTCCTTCTCCACCATTCTAGAGCTTCTCCCGCCTTCTCGCCTCGATACCAGCTGCGGTGCCTTGTCTCCACAAAGGCACTCGTCTTCCACCCATCACGGCTCCCCAGGCCGTGACTGACAAAGATTTCTGCGCTCGCAAGATTCCTCACATCATCAACGTCATCCCTCCTCCCGCCGCTTGGTCTCTCTAAGCAGCTCGTTGCCTTCTTGCTCTTCGACGTGCCTCGTCACCAGCCGCCCACGCCGTCGTTAAACGACCCCCGTCAGCTGCCGCATAGGAGGAGTTCTGCGGTTCTTCCTCTCGCCGAGGAAGAGTCGTCGAGGAGGCCTCGCCCGATCACTGAGGGAACAGTCTGCTATCGCTTTCGACCACCCTAAGATCCATTTCGCTATTTAGCTGCAGAATTTCCCTAGTCTTTTCAGACTAACTTCAGACTTTCTTCTTCGGAATACGAATACTCTGATTTTCAACATCCCTTACCCCCCAAATTTTCCAGGGATATGGTTATGGCAACAGCTGTCCTCGACAATTACGTCCAGAATGTCATCCATAATCATGTTGTAAAGAAGAAACCCCAGTATCTGGGTGCTCTTCAGAACAATGTTGCTCTCGATCCGAAGCAATTGATCGGCGAGGCCTTCCGCCAACGCGTGGGCGCCGTCAACCATGAGCTCTGCGACCCCGGCGAGGAAGACACCTTCTTTGTCGCAGACCTTGGTGAGGTTTACCGCCAGCATCTCCGCTGGAAGAAGAACCTCCCCCGCATCAAGCCATTCTATGCCGTCAAGTGTAACCCTGACCCCAAGGTGCTCCAGCTCCTTGCGGCCCTCGGCACTGGCTTTGATTGCGCCTCCAAGGGAGAGATTGAACAGGTCCTTGGCCTCGGTGCCAGCCCCGACCACATCATCTATGCCCAACCCTGCAAGACCAACTCCTATGTCCGCTATGTCAAGTCTGTTGGTGTCAAGCAGATGACCTTTGACAATGCGGATGAGCTCCACAAGATCGCCAAGCTGTTCCCTGGCGCCGAACTCTTCCTCCGTATCATGACGGACGATACGTCGAGCATGTGCCGCCTCAGCATGAAGTTTGGTGCTCCCATGGACACCACCGAGGGCCTCCTCGCCCTGGCCAAGGAGCTTGGACTCAACGTGGTCGGCGTGAGCTTCCATGTGGGATCTGGCGCCTCTGACCCTGCTGCCTTCCGCAAGGCCGTCGTCGACGCCCACACCGTCTTCCAGCAGGCCCGTGCCTACGACTTCCACATGAGGGTCCTCGACGTCGGCGGAGGCTTCTCTGGAGAGACCTTTGAGATCATGGCTGCGGTCCTTGACAATGCCCTGACCGAGTACTTCCCCGCTGGATGCGGCGTTGACATCATTGCCGAGCCTGGCCGCTTCTACGTTGCTACAGCCTTCACCATTGCTTGCAACATCATCGCTCGTCGCACCGTCGATGACCCCGCGACCCAAGCCACCAGCTACATGGCTTACATCAACGACGGTGTCTATGGCAACTTCTCGAGCATCATGTTCGACCATCAGCACCCCGTTGCCAAGATCCTCCACTCCAATGGCCAGACCTTCTACAACTCCTACGCTGCCGAACAGTGCTCGGTCGGCGACGGTATTGAGTATTCGATCTGGGGTCCCACTTGTGATGGCATCGATCTCATCAGCCAGAGCGCCTTCTTCCCGTGCACCCTCAATGTTGGTGACTGGCTCTACTTTGAGGACATGGGTGCCTACACCAAGTGCTCTGCCACTCAGTTCAACGGATTTCCCAACTCGCACGACACCATCTACGTTTGCAGCGAGCCTGGTGCAAAGGCCCTCATGGGCCTCTAAACATGTGACTCTGGCATACATCTGCCATATCATGGAAAATAAAAGGAGCGAAGCAATTTTTGGGAGGGAGTGGTTTTTACATTCTAGCCAAATGGTCAGGATGGCCTTCGTCAGGGGCTCCGTTAAAGCAAGAGGAGGCCTGTAAAAAGGCTGCCTATCAGTACCAGGCACTTTTGCCACTTTCAAGTGGATTTACTATAGAAAAGTTTTTGACGGAAAAAATGAAGGGAAGTAGAATCCCGAGTTAGACAGATACAACAACAACAACACGAGATGCAAGAATACAACATTAGCATCTTACATCATACATATTTGATTCTTTGCCACACTGCCTTGTGTTGTTCGTGATGAAAGCTAGCATACTATGAAAACTAGGCTTAACTCAATATATTCTACACCTTGCTAGATTAAGAGAACGGGTCTAGAACTTCCTAACGAAGCATACAAAGTAGTCGCAAGTAGGCAATGATTTAGCACGATCTTAGGCCATAGTCATAAAGGACAAGGCTCAGTGTATATTTTATTATATAAGTAGCCGTATACGTAGCAAACTAATCCATTAATGTGAGCAAATCATCTCTAAGTCCCTAGCGCCTCTTGCGGAAAGCCTCAAGTCATTATATCCGTCATGCGTTCATCTAGGTAATAACATCATAACCCATTGCTCAAGAAAAGCAAGCAACTTTTACTGAGAAATGAAGGAATTGAAAAAAAGAAAAAAAGTTTAAGAGCCCCGGAAAAGGAACTGCATATCCTCAGGGCTCAAAGTATCCATCGCTTTGTCATCTGAATTAACAGTGGAGTGAATCATGCTCGTTTTCTTCTCTTGGATCAGTACCATTCGGCTCTCGACAGAATCCTCAATACAAAGACGCGTGATGGTGCAGGGTCGAGTTTGTCCAATACGATGGCAACGATCAGCAGACTGCCACTCAGCGGCCGGATTCCACCAACTAGAAATACAATGTTAGCATAGCTGAAGAAGAGCGTAAATGTAAAAGAGGAAAGTGCTTACGGGTCTATGATGAACACTCGCGATGCCTCGGTGAGATTGAGTGCAACGCCACCAGCCTTGAGTGATACGAGGAAGCATTCAACATCAATGTTGTTCATAAAGTGCTCAATCGATGCTTGGCGCTGAGCAGGGGTCATACTGCCATCCAGCATGACAGTGGTGATTCCAGCTCTTCGAAGTCGCCACTCGATAAGCTGCAGCATTGTGGTGAACTGGGAAAAGATGATGGACTTGTGCGTGGCATTGTCAGAGCGCAGCTTGTGGAGTTCATGAACGAGCAGCTCAATTTTAGAAGAAGAAGTCCAATTTTCCATCTTGATACGATTGATAATTGACGACTTCTTGACCATGGCTTCGTCTTGCTCGATTTCGGGCTGCTCGAGATCAATCACCAGCCCAATATGACATCGAGGGCAGTCAGGCTCATCAGTAGACTTGATATATGCAGATACGCATGTTCTGCAAAAGTCATGCTTGCAGCGACTCCGAATAGTGTCTTCTGCTGGCTCGTCACAGATGCAGCAAACCAAAACGTTTTGGCCTCCATCAGCGTTCTTCTTCAAAATCAAGTCAGGGTGGTCGGCCACCTGTCTCATTTGCATGATGAGACCAAAGATATTGGCATAATTATTCAGAAGGACACCTTGCGCAACATAGGTATCAAACTTGCGCTGACCGTTGGTCATGATACTGTTGGCAAAGTCGTTTTCCTCTTCTCCGAAGAATTGGCGGTTGACATGCACTTCCTTCACAGGAAGCTCCATCGAGTCAGTGTGGTCCTTCTTGAGACGTCGCAGCATGATACGACCTGTCATCAATCGTAATTTCCGGAACGCCTCCCTGCCAGGGCCCAAATTGCCAAACTTCTGAATAGGATTGAGAAGTTCTTGGTTGAAGACAGAGACGTGTTGCATACCAGCATGGTTGCAGTCGGAACAACGACTGTTATCATCCATGGACCATTCAAGCCTCGAACAGGTACATTGTTTGCAGAGATACAAAGCAAACGGTTTGACATTGAGAAATCGCACCAAGGAGAAGAGCTCTCCGATTCGGTTCTGCAAAGGTGTGCCAGTTAAGCACCAACGATACACGGTCTTCAACGCGAAGCATGCTTTAGCAGTCATTGTGGTTCGTGTTTTGATACAATGTGCTTCATCAAGGATGGCTCGATGAAAAGTAATGCTGTGAATGACGCTCTTTTCCTTGTAGATGCCATCTTTTCGCTTGAACCCCTTTTCTTGCTTCCGATACATGGATTCAAGACTGTTGTAGGACATCATGATGACATCGAACTTTTTGAGCTCCTTAACTGTAATATTCTTGGCCTTTGTATTGGTTCCGTGGAACACAAAGGTCTTGAGAGTTCCGTCCGTGTAGGATTTGATTTCCGACTGCCACTGCATGAGTGCGACAGGAGGGACAAGGACCAGAGTGGGCAGCTTCGCGGGGTAGTCAGACATGATGAGAGAGACGGCTTGGATCGTCTTGCCCAGGCCCATTTCGTCGCCTAGAAGGCCACCTTTCCATTCTGTTTTCTCCATTTCCTTCATCCAAGCCACACCTTCCAGCTGGAAAGGCTTCAGCTGCCTTGATATACTCGTCGGTTGGTCTATCTTGCCGGCATTTATTGCCGGCATGTTCTCCAAATCCGTCCACATAGTGACTAATTCAGGGTGATGTTTCTCAAGGCGATCTCGCTCCTTGGCGGTGCGGCTTTTGTGTCTAGACGGTCGGTATGCACGTCTCTGATTAGCAATTCTCCGAAGTGCACCAGGCTCTGGCGCGGCTGCTTCGGAATCATCGCTTTCACTATCACTAACAGTGGCAGAGCTAATACCAGATGATAAGCCGGAAAGGTCAGATGGAAGCCCAGATGACATGTCTGAAGGAAGTGCTAACGGTGGTGTCTCCATATCGGATGCAGTTTTGGGATCAGGAAAAGCCACGCTGGAGAAGCCCCGGTTAGTCTTCAGTCTCTTCGTTTGATCAAAAGGTTTAGCCCTTTCTTCAACCGCTGAATCATATTCATCAGACGAGGAAACCTCATTAGCGAGCTGGTCTGCGAGCTGGTCTTCCAATGCAGCAGCAGCAGCCATTTCGGCGTCTAAATCTAAACTAGACGATGCACCAGAGTCTGAATCAGGTATGATCTTGCTTTTTTTGGTCGGTCGCTTTTCCGCTGAAGAAGGGCCTGACAGAGATCTGGTTCGTTTCACCGATGCTTCAGCCGGGGCAGGAGATTGAACCTCGCTAGCCATAGAGCGGCGAGATCTTAGGCTTGCTCGGCGGTATTCTTCGTTCTGCAGCCGACGAGCTACTTGGGCATCGCGACTGTTGCCAGGATAGACATCATCGTCATCTTCCTCTGAATCTTCAATTTCGGTGACTCGTTTTCCCTTTGCTTTTGAGCTTAATGAGTAGACGCTATGTCGTAAGGCTCGCTCATCTCCATCGGGTTCTTGCAGCCTGCTCTTGGCAGGAATGCGCACTTCAAGGGATTGAGAGGTCTTTAATGGTCTGGCTGCTTCGGCAGGGCTTGGGAGTTTACTGGTTCCAGGCGTGGAGTAGCCGCTTTCTGAAGTTTGGCCAAATGGCGTAAGAGCCGACGATAGAGACTCTGTAGTGTCGAAGGAAAGTTCATCGACTACAGAGGAAGCTGCAAGACTCCTTGCGGATCGTGCACGGGTGAGACGGCCATTTGCAGCGACAGGGCCGCTTTCAGCTTCTACAAATAATTTGTTAGTGACATCTGGCGGTTGAAGCGACGACTATGTTAACATACCCGATGATTGCTGAACAGGGGTGCTTGGCCCTGTCAATAACGAGCGTAACGACGTGCGACGAGGCATTGCTGTAGTTCACCAGCACAGACAACGGTCGAAGGTTTCGAGAAAAAAAGTGAGAGAAAAGGACGATGAACAATAAAAGCTCTCAGAAATCGCTCTTTCGGCTTGAATCGTCTGATAGAGGAAGAGGTGGCTTGACCAGAGCGAGGGAAATTGGGCTGAAACTGAGCAAAGGTTCATCCGCCAGCCCAAGTAAGCACAGGCTCACTGTGATCGTTAATGGTGGAGAAGAGGCTCTGAGAATGACTGCTGGAGAAGAGAAGACTTCTCTCCGCCTCTTCGTCAGGCAATGGCTGGTGAACTAGCCTCGATCACTTCAATCTGACAAAGGAACGAGGAGAAAAGCGCACGAAAAAACTGGGCGGCTGTTACTGGATGAAAACTTGTCAGGATGTTGCCTCATCGGCCGTGATTACCTAGCGGCCATGCCAATTCACAGTGCCTACTTTGGAGGAAGGCGCGAATTGCCACTTTACACGAAGGCGCGTGCAGGGATAAGGGGCTTGCCACAGCGGTAGATACGCACTGTACTGGGACTGTATTGATGACCGATGGGTGACTGTTTACACCTGCGCGCAAATGAAAGTTTACAGTGCCAATTGTGCACCGGTCAATCACGTGACACCGTGTTATCTCGCGACACTGTCGTCACGCTGTATGTCATCGGCACTGGGTGAAAGAACAGAATAGTGTGGCATGCATTTTGTTTGCACCGCTTGTTCTCACAGGAAAATTTGATACGGAGACACAATACACCTACAAGAACATAGATCTCGATAGTCACCTTCTACTATCCAGGCACTCTCATCATGTTGGTCTTCCATACTCTGGCCTATCCTCCTCTCTGCTGCAATGCTGACCAATACGACTGTCTAGGGCCCGTCGACGCCAGTATGATCAAGGCCAGAATGGGCGGCCAAGTCGTAATATTACTGGGCCGTAAGTATAGCAATGGTGATTTTAATAGCATAAAGATAGATTTGTGCTAACAGTGTCTATTTAGCCAATCTGCCTTGACTGATTTTCTTGCAGTATGCTACGAAACATCTCTCAACCGATCTCTGGTCATGATTTGCTAACACATCTTTTAGTCACACAATATTTCGGCTGCTCAAATTAGAGCCGACGCAGATCGCCGGAGACAACAAGCAGTGGAGAACGGAGAGACGGAGGAGACAACAGAGGCAGGTGAAGTCGAACCGACCGAAGAAAATGAAGTTTCAGAAACGGTAGAAGTCTCCGTCACTGCTGTTGAGGCAAGCGCTGCTGGGCGGGGAACAAGAAGTCGCAATGCCGCAGCAGAAAAGAAAGCCAAGGCCTTGGATAAGATCAAAGCTAGCAAAGCATTCAAAAAGCGCAAGAAGAACGCCGATGATGACGAATACGATGACGAGATTGCCCAGGCAATCTTCGAAGAGAGGAGTGCACCGCTTCCTGGGCAGATGGAGAACTGTGAAATCTGCGGAAAGCGCTTCACTGTGACTCCTTACTCGGTGGCAGGACCTGACGGAGGCCTTCTGTGTGCTCCCTGCGGGCGCGAGATTGCCAAAGACCGAGAGGGACAACCCAAAAAGAAGCCTCGAAAACAGACCGGCGGTGTAGGCTCACGACGCACTCTGCAGAGCCGAATGCTCGATGGAGACGTGGGTACGAAAAGCTTGGCTACATTGTGTGTGCAGACGCTGGCAAAGAATGTTGACTTGGCAGAAAGCTTGGGTGATTTACCTGAGCATCTTATCGACAAGATTGCCAGGATTTTCTCCAAGCGGCGTTTATTGAAGCCGGATACTCTTCCATTGTTTACGCAACCTACCACCGAAGTACTGCACATCTACGATGGTGCAAAACTTGGTCATCAAGATTTCATCAGCATCTTTCAAGTTGCTTCGAACCTGAAGAAATTCAAGGTGCGGTGTGCGGTCCAGTTCAAGGACGAGGTCATGGATTATCTACTATCGAGAGATATCCTCCTGGAGAGCTTCTATCTTCATGGTGCCAATCTACTCAGCGAGGATAAGTGGCACGAATTCCTCGCTGCCAAGGGCAAATCCTTGAAAGAGCTACAAGTTTACTTTACCGATCGGCACTTCGGAGACGAAACTTTGGGACTCTTGAAAGAATACTGCCCCAACTTGAGTCGCCTAAAGGTCTGCCACAATCAAAAGGTCACGGATGTAGGAGTAATTGCAATTGGAAACCTTCCAAGCCTTCGGCATCTCAGTTTAGAACTCCAGCAGGACAGCTCGGCAGAAGCTCTCAGGACTTGTATCACACAAGTCGGGAAAGATCTCAGGACATTGTCCTTTAAGATTGTGCCCGATGCCGATGATAGTGTTCTGGAAGCTATTCATAATACTTGTCGATCATTGGCCAAGCTTCGTATCACAGAAAGCGAAACGATGACAGACAAGGGCTTCGCCAAGCTCTTTGCAGACTGGGAAAATCCGCCTCTGGACTTCGTGGACTTGCAAAAGTGCCGGCAGCTCGATGCCGCTCATCCACGAGCGAACCCCGACGGTATTGGCCTTTGCAGTGAGGGCTTCAAGGCGCTCATGAAGCACTCTGGCCACGCCTTGAGAACCCTCAATGTGCACGCTTGCCGACACATCTCTCGCGAGGCGTTTGAAGAAGTCTTTGGCGGAACGAAGGAGTATCCGGAGCTAAGAAGACTAGAGATCAGCTTCTGCGAAGAAGTCACCGATTTTATCCTTGGAAGCATATTCCGGACTTGCCCGAATATCAAAGAAGTGAATGTGTTTGGCTGCATGAAGGTGAAGGACGTCAGAGTGCCACGCGGCGTTATCTTGGTTGGCGTACCCAACGCCCAGGGGATGATAACTGAAGGCACGGACTGAGCATGATCTCCTGGAGAGCTTCGCTTGTCATGACTTTTGTCTTCTTTCTAAACGAATTTCATGCTAGGGAGAGCAAGCTGCATATGGTGTGGGATAATAAAGATCATTTTAAACTTTTCTTCTTTTTTTAATCTCAAAGATTTGGCCACAGAGGGAAAAGGCGTAATGTATATAGCCAGAGTTTAAGTGCAGAGCGAATTCAAAGAGTCAACTAGAGCCATCACGTCTGGTCTACAATTATATGTTTTTACCTGAAGCTACCATGTGACTTGGCTTGTTTCACATGTATTTTGGATGTCCATATAGCAACATATACCTGCATCCAACATATATATACGAGTATGAAGTTTTTATGTACATTAATCCCTCAGCACAGCCCGAAGTAGAGCTATGTCGACAATTTACATTCCCAGCAACATTTCATGCTACATTTTTATACCCGAAGAAACAACCCATAACGCCCTTTTTTGTTACGCAAAATACACTCCATATATACAGCAACTTTATGCCTGGCCAGAAGCAACCAAAGCTCGGTCCTCTTCGGCCCACTTGTTGATCCTGTCAATGGTAGTCTGGTTATAGCTCGAGTCGCCATCATCACGCTTGAACTGGAGGGGAGACGGGGCGCATCCCGAGATGTGCTCCAAGTAGTTTGAGTGGGCAGAGACATCGAGTCCCGACGTGCCGGCATTGCAGTCCGTGTTGGCAATACCGGTGCAGACCTCGATCTGCGAGATTGTGTAGTCAATGGTGGAGGAATCACCAGTAGACAGCCAGAACTCGGGAGAAACGTGGCGGTACTCGAACAGGATGGGAGGCAGACGGGGGACGGGGTCGTCCACGTGCGTGACGCGGAACTCGCCGCCAGGTTGGGCCGTGACGAAGTTGGCAAAGACGTCGTTGCCCACGCGGGGAGAGCCGTAGGTGTAGACGTCGATGCTGTAGCCCTGCGTGCGCAGAGTTGCGGCGGCGAGCGTGGCGACGGCGCCGCCGAGCGAGTGGCCGGTGGTGACGATGCTGAAGCCCGGGTTGGCGGCGACGGCCTGGCTGATGGCGGCGGTGGCGGCGTCGGCGATTTCGTTCCAGGCGTCGTTGAAGCCGTCGTGGACTGAGCAGCCGTCGGCGAAGGAGCAGTCGGAGAAGGCAAAGGTGACGTCGGTGATGAAGTTGCGGAGGTTGTTGCTGCCGCGGACGGAGAGGACGATGAGCTGGTGGGCGGAGTCGACGGCGACGAAGCCGCCAATGCCGGTTGAGGAGCCGCTGTTGGGAGTATGTGTTAGCTGGCTACGCTTTATATATGTATGGGTGTATGTATGTATGAGATGAAGTTTGGATGCTTATAGAGACTCACGTAAAGGAGTTGACAACGATTCCGCTCACGTCATCGCAGACGTCGTCGGCACAAGTGACGGCCTGTCCAGCAGGCGTGGCGGAGTTGCAGTAAGAAGCTCCGGCATATTGGGAGTAGAATGAGAAGTTGGTGAGCTCTGCTTGTGTGGTTGTGAAGCTGGTGTCGCTTTCTTTTGGGAGTTGTTAGCTCTTGTAAGTAGTGTAGTTTCAAGGAGTGAGTTTAGACTTACGGCGAGCCTTGAGGAGGCGAGTGTACTCTTGGATAGAGCCAATGGGGCTACCGGCCGCAAGAGCAGCGAGAGAGAGAAGCTGGACGGACTTCATTGTGATATGTGTATAATGATAGTAGTAAAGTGTGGATGGAGATGGGTATAAGTCGATGTGTCTTGCTTGTTAGAGCTCAATGATAGTTGTAAGTGCTGAAACACTCTCTCTTCTCACACAAGATCTTCTGGAATATCAAATGCTTAATTCTCTAATAATTGGGGTGAGTTCCCACATGTTTATATACTTTTATACCGTGCATGATGTTTATCCTCTCCGAATGGCAACATGTGAGACGCGGGTGCAAAACTCGGGGCGTCCGAGCGCCCCTGATCCCTCCAGGCAGCTGGACGGACTGCCTTCATGCCGAACAAACCATGAAGCATGCGCGCGTCTCACGATGAGCTACGGCTTTTTTTCTTCTTCTTCTCTTTTCGTCTCGAATCATGGGTCCAAAGTGCGTGCGTGAACCGCCAGCCACCTCCGCAGTTCCCCACGATGTGAGGGGCCATTTACTCTTGCCGGTGTCTACATGTAGTCTAGTTGGCTTAGAAAGGCCTCTTTGAAAGATGGAAAAGGAACGAGCGGCACCGGAGGTCCTCCAAATTAAGAAATAGGATGAATTAAGAAGAAAGACTTTTTGTCAAGCTCCAAGATGAGAACTGATTTGCAGGCTCGGAGATTCGGTAGAACTTCCAAAGGAGGCAAGGATGCTGGCGCCGAATGGGGATCTCAGAACGGAATCGTGAAAGACGATTGGTGGTCAAATTCGTAGCAGAGTAAAAGTAAAAAGGACAAAGGACAGGGCGGCTTTGAATGCGTGTGATTGATCGGCGCTTTTACCTTTTGATGCTGACCAAGGTGGGCGGGAGATGCGTCCAAGGATCTGGGATCGACACTAGAGCGCTACTGACAAGGTAGGTGGCATTTGCAGTGTAAGAGGTTGCGTTATTAGCATTCACTGGATGCGGCTATACTGATACCATGTGCTTTCTTATTCGGGGATCAGAGAAGGGCGATGGAAAGGTGTCGGATCGCGGCCCTGCCAAGCATTTGTCCCCTGGAACCAATGCGGCATGACGACAAGGAGCATTTCTGATCTTGTATCTGCCTCCTATGGCAATTGTGCTCGTGCTTGGACATACGCACAATACGGCCCAAACAGACACGATTCATGAAAGACAAATTGGCGCTTTGAGGCTGGAGGGATCAGCTGTATCATGGCACATTTACATTTACCAGTCATTTTGCTGATCACGCCCACGCCTCGCCTCGCCCACGTTGTCGGCGGCAATCTCGTCAAATGACATTGCTTGGTGTTTATTTCGGACTTGTTAGTGGAAGCGACTATTACTGGCTAGGGCTCTGCCGGCATTAGAGCGGGATCTTTTGCGCTGTGGCGCTGCGGGGTGATGATGTCCTGTTCTAGGGTTTCTGAGCTTGCAGCTCGACGAGACGAAATCGGATATCTGTTGCCGGGGGCATGCGGCCTGGGACCGATGTTATTCATGGTAACAATGGCGTAGAGATAAGACCTGGACAATGACAAGCTACATCTTGTGTAAGGAAGAAACAGACTGAGATTTGTTACTTCTTTTCTCATGTTGAGGCTTACCGCTTACAGCTATTATTTCTCGTGTAAGTGTAATCGCTGTAGCTGTTCAGATCTCATGTACTATCATGCTTGACTCATGAACCATAACAATCACTTTTACACTTTTTCTCTAGCTGATAGACTAATTCCTGGACTAAAAGCATTGGGTGACTATCCACGAGCTACAAAAGCCATTCGGCCGACACCTGACTTCGGACATTGTCTCCAAACGGCAGCTCGAAAAGAAGCTCCAGTACCCGCAGTGGACTCTTTACTAGGCACTATTTATAAAGAAGATATATCAACATGAACAAGAGAAAAAAACTGGCTAGGTAAAATTGTGTGATTAATATAGATCAATTTCAGCTTTACTACCTACTACGGAGAATATGAGATGATACCATATCAAATATTCTTTGTAGAAGCTGATTGATTGGAAACTAGCTGCATGTAAAAGCACCAGCAGAACCTGGAGATGAGTTACAATCCACGCCCAAAATAAATTGGGATTCGGCCTTGACAAATCTCAAATATGCTCAACGTATCGGCAATCGGACCGCATTTACTTGTCGGGGGGATTCAGTAGGCTCCAATGAAGCATTTTTTTCGTATGAACTGGTCTGGTCCTTGCCCAGGGGCCCTTGCGGGCGTGGAACAGCTCCTCTTGGGACCCGAAACTGTCTCTTTTCCTACCATTTACAGGGTCGCAGCAAAAGACTGCAACCTTGTAACAACAGATTGAGTCTTTTTGCGGATAAGAATCCTTCTCCTGCCATAGCGGGACCATCCCTGTCCGGCATCAAATACCGTTGCTGTTGGTTTCGACATGCCGCAATTGTCGATTTTGGGACGTGCAAGTGTTTCATACATGCTGACTGGCTTAAGCTTGACATGCCCCATCGGGCAACAATACGACATATTCTCTACAAGTACAGACATTTGCCTCAGACTCAAAACAATGAGCCGCTGTCAGCATCGACCTCGACGCCGAACCGGGGAAGAATTCACGCGGTGCACACTGTAAGGCGTAAAGCGCAAGGCGCAAGGCATAAGGGCTGCACACCCTCAAGTTCGTGTCAACTCCCAAGAAGATCATCGTGCAGGGCGCTAAAGCGTAGATTCGATGGAATGGCCCTTGGCAGCTTTTATTTGAACCGAGGGCCATCCGCGTCTCTCTGCTGCCGTTTGTCTTTTCTTTTTTCCTTGTGATTTCCCCGCCAGCCTTGGCTATTATACCGCCCAAGAAGGCCGCCCCTTGGCTTAGACATCTCGACGATATTTTCCAGAGCTGCCACCACCAACAAAGGCTGCATGTACTCACTAACAGCATTCTATGCTTGTCATTGCTACCTTACTACATACTTGCAGTAACATCAATTATTAATACGACTACTAGATATTCCACGTAATCGCTTTTCCCCCGCCATCGGCCTGCTTTCCCCAGACTCTTCCCGGCCTCCTAGCTTTCCTCTGATCCCTGCAAATACGAACAAGTTCACAGTCGTTGTCGTAACCAGAGCGGGATCCTCCGCCAGTGTCTTGTCACGGAATGCAGAAAGAAGGAAGCCGCCCGCTCCACCACGGATTTTTCGTTGAGACATTTCACCGAGCCCAATGGGCGATGCCTGAAAAAGTGGCCATTGTGACCGTCCTATTTGTGCGGCTTTGGGCTGGAGGCGGTGACCTGGCGTCTATCGCATGACGGCACTACTAAGACACGGGAGGGCTAGTGTTGTCCATCGCATTCAAACATCACGATGTGTGTTACCACCGCTCAGCTCTTGGCAAGGTTGTGGATAAAGACATAGCCTGAGTTGATTGTTCTGGAGTGCGATGTTCCGTCTCTTTCAGCTTGCCTCTTTTCTCCTCATTCAATCCCTTGCATGTCTCTGGCGTCACTAATACTACTTTGGGCAATGCATCAGCATATGTGACCTAATGGCATGGGCCAAACGAGAAGAAACATGAACAAAATGAGGAGAAAAAAGACAGTTCTAAATGCTAGTAGTATTCATGACAGGCATGTCTGTGTCTTGGCTCGTCTAAACTCGTCTAAAGCAGGAGGGTCACGATCGTCTTATCGTGGCACAGAGTCGATGATGGAGTGCAAGTGCTCAGCCATCCTTTCCTAACCTGGGGCGGTCCAGGGTCCTCTTTATAGGGAAACGATTGACCGTCTTTCGGCCATCGAGACGACTTCTCCGTAACTCGTCCCTGTCAAATGGAGTCGGGCAGCCTTTTTATTGATCCTTGTTATTTGAGTGAAGCCCTCATGAGCACGCGAGAGCAAAAGCGCCCGTTGCAATAGGCTCTCGTATCTTCTGAGATCTATTATTCAGCTGCCTCTCTTAGCCATTGGCATCATGGCCCCGTTTCTCGATAGAGTCGGGGTGCCCACAGCCGCCATATGTTTTCTATCCAGCCTCGCTTCACTTGGACATGCTGGAGCCGTCGCCGACATAGACAATGAGCAATTGTCGGCCCGAGACTCAGCTGCGGTTAGCTATTATGTGCCGCCGTATTATCCTGCGCCGTATGGCGGATGGGTGGCCGATTGGCAGGAGAGCTATGCCAAAGCCAAGGCTCTCGTCGACTCCATGACTCTAGCAGAGAAGACAAATATCACTGCAGGAACTGGAATATATATGGGTAAGCATGGGCTCTCTACGTAGTGAACTATAATCGGGGTCTCTCTTGTATTGACGCAATTGTAATATGATGATGCACGGAATTTTATATGCTGACCGGCTTCTTAATAGGGTAAGTTGTGTGGTTTCGAACACTATCCAAAAGCACCATCAAGCAGTTTCCGTTCACGTCAAGGAACTGCTTATGGTTCTCATATAGCAAGCTAATTGAGGTTGACTTGCTTGAGTATGAAGCTAATTTTGCTGTGGCATGATCAAGACGATGTGCCGGAAACACAGGCTCTGCACTTCGAGTCGGCTTTCCCCAGCTGTGCCTCAATGACAGTCCCGCGGGTGTGCGACATGCCGACAATGTCACAGCTTTCCCGGACGGCATCACGGTTGGTGCAACCTTTGACAAGTCTCTCATGTACCAACGCGGCGTGGCCATTGGAAAAGAGAACCGTGGCAAGGGAGTCAATGTTTGGCTGGGGCCAGTGGTTGGACCAATTGGCCGCAAACCAAAGGGTGGTCGCAACTGGGAGGGCTTTGGAGCTGATCCTGTGCTTCAAGCTATTGGTGCAAGAGAGACGATCAAGGGCGTTCAGGAGCAGGGAGTGATTGCGACTATCAAGCACTTTATCGGCAATGAGCAGGAGATGTACCGCATGTACAATCCATTCCAATATGCCTACAGCTCGAATATTGGTGAGTTCATGCATATATAACCAATATTGTGACGAGCTAATGACAGCCAACGATGATCGTTATGTAAAGACGACAGGACTATGCATGAACTCTATGCCTGGCCATTCGCCGAAAGCATTCGAGCAGGCGTTGGCTCCGTCATGATGGCATACAATGCTGTAAGCGAATTCGAGACGAGTTTGATGAGTTTCAAAAGAGCTGATCCATTGCTACAGGTCAACAACACTGCGTGCACCCAGCATCCGTATCTCATCAATAACCTCCTCAAAGACGAGATGGGCTTCCAAGGCTTCACACAGACTGATTGGCTCGCCCACATGTCCGGCGTCGCCTCCGCCATTGCCGGTCTCGACATGGACATGCCTGGCGACACTCAAATCCCGCTATTTGGAAACTCCTACTGGATGTACGAGCTTACTCGGTCTACTCTCAACGGCTCGGTGCCTATGGATCGGCTCAACGATGCAGCCACTCGCATTGTTGCGACCTGGTACCAGATGGGCCAGGATCAGGGCTACCCGGCGACCAACTTTGATACCAATTCCGGCGCTGCAGTTAATCCTCTGTATCCTGCCGCGTGGCCAAACTCGCCTTCCGGAGTCACAAATGAGTTTGTTCAAGTCCAGGCAGACCATGACGTGATTGCTCGACAGATCTCCCAAGATGCCATCACCATGCTGAAGAATGACGGCAACATTCTTCCTTTGTCACCTTCACAGCATCTCAAGATCTTTGGCACCGATGCTCAGAAGAACTCTGCGGGCCCCAACTCTTGTACAGATCGCAACTGTAACACGGGCACTCTTGGCCAGGGCTGGGGTTCCGGCACTGTCGATTACCCCTACCTGGATGATCCGATAACAGCCATCAAGGCGGAGGCGAGCAACGTCACCTTTTACAACACTGATAGCTTTCCCTCGGTTGGCCAAGTCGCAGCTAGCGACGTTGCTGTTGTCTTCATCACATCAGACGCCGGCGAGAACACTTATACCGTTGAAGGCAACCATGGAGACCGTGATGCGTCTGGCTTATACGCCTGGCATAATGGCGATAAGCTCGTTCAAAGCGCTGCTAGCAAGTTTAGCAACGTCATTGTTGTCATCCATACCGTCGGACCACTGATTCTTGAGAACTGGATTGATCTCCCATCCGTCAAGGCCGTCCTAGTTGCTCATCTGCCAGGCCAAGAGGCTGGAACGTCGCTGACAAACGTCCTCTTTGGCCATGCGTCGCCCTGTGGACATTTGCCCTATACCATTACCAAGGCCGAGAGCGACATGCCCAGTAGCGTCACCACGCTCATCAATTCGGAGTTCCTCAATCAGCCTCAAGATCCTTACACCGAGGGGTTGTACATTGACTACCGCTGGGTCAACAAGAACAGCACTAAGCCTCGATACGCTTTTGGCCATGGCTTGAGCTATACCAACTTCACTTACACGGCAGCATCAATCAAGAAAGTCACTCAGCTAAGCTCGTATCCTCCCGCTCGTCGTGCCAAGAGCGGCATTCTCAATTTTTCACAAGCCATCCCATCCGCAAAGGAAGCCGTCGCGCCGTCCAGCTTCAATTCCATCCCCCGCTACATCTACTCCTGGCTCTCCCAGAGTGATGCAAACAGCGCTGTTTCCGATGGAAAGAATGGCAAATATCCCTACCCGCCTGGCTATTCTACCGTCCAGAACCCCGGTCCTCGCTCCGGCGGTGATCAGGGAGGCAATCCTGCACTCTGGGACGTTGCGTACAATCTCACGGTAACTGTCCAAAACACGGGCGATATCTTTGCTGGCAAAGCATCCGTACAGGCTTACCTGGAGTTTCCGGATAACGTCGCCTATGACACGCCGATTATCCAGCTTCGGGACTTTGAAAAGACAGATAAATTGGCTCCGGGGGCGTCTACGACGGTGACATTGACGCTCACGAGGAAAGACGTAAGTGTGTGGGATGTAGTAGCTCAGGATTGGCAAGTTCCTGCGGTAGATGGAGGGTACAAGGTGTGGATTGGAGAGGCCAGCGATCATCTGAGTATTGTGTGCCATACCGATACACTGAAGTGTGAGACTGATGTCACTGGGCCAGTGTAGGTGATAAGAGTCGGAAATGACGGACATGTTTGAGCAATTGACAAGCCTTTTCTTTTGATCTCGTTGATTTTACTGTTATTTTTGTGTCTTGGCGTGAAAGTAGTAGTACAATACAATAATACATCTATGCCTCTAGATGCTCCCTTTTATACACTTCCCCATTCCCCATGCCGCAGGGTGAAAATACCCATATGTATCGACAAATATCCCGTTTTCTTTTCATTTTGATCATCCGTCGTCATATGTTTCTCCATTTGGACATAAAACTTTCTTCACCACGCAACGTGTCTCCGGCCCTTCAGCTTCCTCCTCTGCAAGATCCTTCGGCCAGTCTTACTCCTCGTCCTCTTCAACCAGCCATGTCTCCGCTTCTGCACCAGTCTAGTATGGCCGTTCATGGTATTTCGGGGTCCGAAGCGGAGCTGCATGGCGCCCTGCAGAGAGGGATGCATAGAGAGCGCTGTTTTGGGGACGACGTCTGCGGTTGTCGTTTCGGTTGATGACGCTGTAGCAGCAGCTGTGGGTGAAGGGGTGAATGAGTTGTTGGGTCGGAAGGTGGAAGTTAAGGTCGGTCGGAGAGGAGAGAGACATGAGAATGTCCTGTGCAGGTGTATTTCTTTAGTTCAACTGAAGTTGTGGTGATGTCGAGAAGGATTTTTAGACGTACCTTTGCGAGAGGGGAGAGATGCGCGGGGCCAGGAGAGGCCGCGCAAGGCGGATGATGGAATGCATTGTGGGAGGAGAGAAGGCGACTCGTTGGGTGTGGCGAGCGCTGGCTGGAGAGAGTGTGTGGAGGTCAATTGACGGCTTTGTTGGAAAGTTGCGATTGCGACTTCGACGTGTGGTGGTGAGAGTAGCTTGGCGTTGAATTTTTGGAGGTTCTGAACTTGTCAGTTGGCGACGGATGGCCACAGCTGGTGGATATTGTGCGCTAATCCATGGTGGGGAGCATCGAGTGGATCTGATTCCCGAGCCGATGAAGACGGCTTCAAGGAGAGTTGAAAATGCTGTGAAGGAATCCGGTCAAAGAATAAACAGGGGTATGTTTAGTCATTCCCAAAGGCTTCGGAGAGGGTTAAAAATGCTGTGAAACAGTAAATTGTGTAATTTCTTCTACCAGTGCGAATTGCTTATGGCCTTGGGGAGGATGGAAATTGTTGCAAAGTGAGTGGATGTCACGAGGACTCCAAGGAGAAGGACAGACATTAATACAATAAGCTGGGTCTAAGTCTTTCTAAGAGTGTAGCAAATACAGAGCACTCAGCAGATTATGATTCTAAATATACCAAGGCCTCGATGAGAATAAGAAGATCTTGTGAAAAAGGCAGCACAGTGCGAATGCATCATAGCCTTGGGAAGGCTGATGTTCTGGTAATTGCCTACCTACCTTACCAATCTACCTTGAAAAATCAGCAAGATCACACAAGTCTGTGATACTATAGCTTCGGAGAGAGTTGATTTTGCTGTGAAAATACACTACGATGTAGTTCCTCGCAGGACTGTGGAGTAGTGAGATAGGTAGGTAGGTAGATAGGTAGGTAAGCTGACCAGCTCCCGTAGGTTGGTCAGCTTGTCACTACACTGGTCTGGGTCGAATACTAGAATACCTATTTGCATAGATATACACCACATGCATGCTTTTATACCAAAGCCTTGGGGAGAGTTAAAAATGCTGTGCAGTGTCCGTATGTGGAGCCAGATTCAATTCGTGCAGGCAGCTGTACCTACCGAGCAAATCACAATCCTGGTTACGTCAAGGCCTTGGGAAGAGTTCAAGATGCTGTGAACAGTTGGAGGCGCCTGATCAACAGGTAGGGTTACTTTCAGCAGCACAAGGCAGATTTTGAAAAGATAGCCGCGAACTGAGTGGATCATAATCCTGGCTGGATCAAGGCCTTGAGGAAAATTAGAAAAGCCGTGAAGAATCCGGAGCCCAAAAAGATACGTATATACCTTGAACAGACAACAAGTCACAAGCCTCTACCACCGAAACCTTTGAGAGAGCTAAAAATGCTGTGAAAGGCTCAGCTTACCAAGGCCGAGAGAGCTAGCAAGAGTACAGGCCAATTACATTAAGAGTTTCAGGCTTTTTTTTAGAAATCTTCTGAATGGGCAGCCGTGAACTAAGCGACATTTGATTATGGCTGAATCAAGGCCTTTGGGAGATAGAGAAATGCTGTGAAAGGAGCCCTCCTTACCGGTTGGGCACAGGGTCGAACGCAAAGGTGTGTTGGGCACCAGCCAAAATAGAGCTTTAACCCCTACCGACTCAACGGAATCTCTACAGACATAGGCACAAACATAGCACAAAATATGCCAGCTCAGTTGTTAGAATCTGAAAGTTATACAGTTTGATGCAAACATCGATGAAGCTAAGCAAATCAACGAGTCGCATTGTATATCCTGAGCTATGCTATAGTCTAGAAAGTTCGATTTAGTTGACACGTAACGAATAATGTAGTGGGAGATCAAATGGGTTCGCTTTCATGAGAATGGGATGGCATTGAAAAGGCCTTGACCAAATATAGTATGAGGAGGCTCAAAGTGGCATTCTGGATCTTGGAAAAGAAGGTCTTGAGGGAAGCTAAAATTGCTGTGAAGAAAATGGAGGGGCGTGTGCTAGGCCTCTATTCAAAGACCATAATGCCTGCTTGCCTGTTTCAACCTCTGATGGTTAACACAGGCTTGGAGAGCGTTACAATTGCTGTGAAGGCGCTTGCACACGCCCCTACCTTCGCTGGTTGTCCCTAGGCCTGGTGCCTCTCTCTGCCTTGTAACCTGCTGTCTGTTTACCTCACAAAATTAACGACTATGGGGGAAGCCTATACGTGGGCTGTGTACCTAGCCAGTCGTTGTCGTCTCTTCCTTAGAAGCAATGAATTGTTTCCAATGGCTTTGAAGGCCGCAAACCGTCTTTTTCTTGAAAGTTGGACTGAGTAGCTTTGATCTGGAACAACTGAGGGAGTTTTATAAACGACAGTCAATGATCTCTCTTCCGAGAATAAAAAAACGTATTATATGATCTACTTCATGTGTCAATTTGAACTTACTGATATAGCAAGTGAGATACTCTATTGCACACAGCCGTTCTCATACAAGGCTTTACATCACATATGCCACCTCGCGATACTCCAGCCCATCTGCCATTCGCACGCCCTCAACTTCCTCCCAGCTCATCACCATCTTCACCTCTCCAAAGTAATTCGCCTCTCCCTCTTGTCTGAATCCAAGCTTATTGAAAAGTCCTCTACTTCCAGTATTATCCTCTTTAATCTTCGCCATCAGACCAGCCAACTGTATCTTGTCCTTATCCAATTTCTCGCCTTGTGCATACTCATCTAGTATACCAGTCAGGTTCTTTTGTATATACGTCAGTATTGTGCGCACTGCTGCTTCTCCTGTGCCTTTCCCGCGATGTTGTTGTCCGGCTATCATGACGTCTATTTCTCCCCTCAGCCGTATTTGGCTGCCTTCTCGCTGTGCAGCATTATCTTCATCATCATCATCATCATCGTCCAGGTATAGGAAGAAGTTGACGTCTCCCTTCATTTTGTCTGAAGAGTCATCGACTTTGGCTGTAATTATCCGCGCGTCGTCGCTTCGTTGCTCCCCACTTAACGGCTCGCAGACAATAAAGGTCAATTTATCATGAGACGTGCGCCACGATTGCTGGTTCTCGTACTCTTCCTCCAAAGTCATAGGCTCTGATGCAGTCGCCTCTTGGATAGCCTAACTATTTGTTAACAAATTGCAAAATAAGCATCAAGCTGAGAGATGATATTTAGTACCGGATCTTGCATCCAGCCATGATACGTGAGCACCTGGTGGGCTTCATATGGAACCAGTAAAACTTTACTCGTTGAAATGGCTACTCTCAGTTAGCATCAAATTCAGGTAGCTCAGAGTAATTAATCAAACTGACCAATTTTTTCGTTGGCTTTCATGTTGAATCGTTGCTATTCGTCGGCCGTAATAGGTGGCTCAATGGGAAGAGTGAAAAGTCTGTAGCAGAGCGGTATTAAGCTGCGCATCGGCCCAAAAGTGAAGGTGAATTTTGGCACGCCACTAACAAATGAGACAAAACTACAGTCGCAATATTCCACACATCCAACCCAGAAAGAGCGTACCTACTTCGATTTCATATTTTTTCATTAAATATATATATTTACTAATTGGAGACTTATCATCTAGTCTACAATCCTGGTCATATCATACATCTCTTACAGTACTGCGCACACAAATGGTGCCAAGTTATACAAAACTCCAACTACTCCACGCTCATGGCTATTATGCGCCAACTTTGGCAGCATGTGTCTCGGCCAATAGCTTAGCGACGGCCTCCTCTCCCATGCGCGCCTCCATGACCAGCAGCTCAGCCATTTGGTTCATCTTATTTCGGGTTTTATCCAGCAACGCAACCCTCAAGTGCTCTAACAGCTCATCATCCGAAAGATCTGCACTAGCAGTTGGAGGGAATATCGTATCCCATTTGCTCATACGAGGCGCTGGCTCTACGGGCTTAGACTCAGTGCCATAGTCGGCGTCCTTGCCTTTGGCAGCAAACTCAAGGGTACGCCTATCAGGTCGGACTCCAAGAGCGTCCAGCAACTCTGATGCTTTTGTCGGCATGATTGGCTGAAGTAAGATGCCAGCAATGCGCAGTGCTTCCGCGCTGTTAAAGATCACCCAGTTTAGCAGGACGCGAGATTCTGGATCCTGATTCTTGACTAGATCCCAAGGTTTGGTATCTGAGACGTAGCGGTTGGTCTAATTTGCCGCACTGTCAGTATTTATGCATCCTTCCAAATGTGAATGTGTACGCAGTCAACTATACCTCTCTCAGAAGCTCAAAAACTACTCGGATCGCGGCACTCGTGTCATAGTCGTCCATTTCCTTACAGAAAGCTTCAGGACTTTCGGACAAGTGGCTTTCCAGGCTAAAGAATACTGCATCGAAATAATCTTTGTCATGTTTTTCAGCCCAAGCGTTCAATTCTCCATTGCGAAAAGCTGTCACCGCCTCCAGAGTCGACCATCTCACAGATGATTTTGGCTTTGCGATTCTATAGAAAAGATTGCCGATATTCGCTTGCAGTTCTTTCATGTAGACAGTGCCAATCAGCTGATTAGAATAGCTCATGTCCTTGTGGAAAGTTGCGTTGCGCATGAGGAAATATCGCAGAGGATCGATGCCCCATCGCTGAATGGCAAAGAACGGGTTCACAACGTTGCCCAGTGACTTGGACATCTTGCGGTTGGACATGGTCCAGTGGTTGTGACAAAGGTAGCCCTTTGCGACGGGCAGTCCAAGAGCCATGAGCAAAGCTGGCCAATAAATTGTGTGGAAGCGTAGAATGTCTTTTCCAATAACCTGCAAGTTGGCTGGCCATATTCCCATGTCATCTTTTGCCGTGTGCCACTTGCTTCCGTATCCGGCTTTGGTAATGTAGTTGATAAGGGCGTCCACCCAAACATAAATAGTCTGGGTCTTATCCTCGGGATCGGATACGCCCCAATTGAGCCTAGAAGCCGGCCTCGTAACCGATAGATCTTCAAGATGATTCTCAATCCACTCTCTCGCTTCGGCCATTCGATGAGCAGGCTTGATCCAGCCGGGATTCTCATCATAAAGCTTCAACAAGGCATCTTTGTATTTCGTTAGTGGAAAGAACCAGGTCTCTTCCTTGATCCATTCCACCTCGTTGTCCGTTTCAGTGCTAACCATAATCTTCTTTCCAGTCTGAGGCGCAATACTGGGTCGCACCAAGTCTTCAGGATAGAAGCACTCATCACTGACACAGTACCAACCTTCATGAGAGCCTTTATATAGCCCCAAGCTCTCAGGAGTAGAATGCTTCAAGTGCAGCCAGAACTGTGCCACCGCATCCTTGTGTTCCTGGTCAGTTGTCCGGATGAAGAAGTCATTTGAGATGTTGGCAGCCGCCACTAATTCTCGAAATTTATTTGAGTTGCCATCGCAAAACTCCTTTGGCTCCATTCCATGCTTAAGCGCAGCTCTCTGGATCTTCATTCCATGCTCATCCGTTCCGGTACATAAAAACGCTTCTTTGCCTTTGATCTGCTGCCAGCGCTTGATGACATCTGCCAGGACCATGGAATATAAATGACCAATATGAGGAGCTTTGTGTATGCCGTGTCAGTCACACCGTTTGTAAATGCTTGTTCAATTCCAATTATATTTACCAGCATTGACATAAAAGATTGGCGTAGTTATATAATACGGCTTCTCGCTTGAGGACCCCGCCGAGCTCTGAGAACTGCTCCAGCGTTGCACGGCAGCCGGAGTTGCTCGACAGCCGGAGCAGATCCAGCCAGATCGCAAAGCAAGCCTTGACTGAGCTTGCCACAGCCCCGGGAGGGCCCGCGACCTGTATGAGAGCAGCATGGTTGCGATACCCACAGCGAGCTTTGATTAGAGCAAGACGCAGAGATGGTGGTGAAATTGCATGACACAGTGCTACTAGTGCGAATTGGTATGGCGATAACTGTAGCCTGCAGATAACTGCGGGGCAGCACTTCACGTCATGTCAAGCTAGGCTGGAACTTTTTTGTCTTCGCGACTTGAGCTTGAACTACGCCTCAAAGTTGCTACCAGAAGCAATACGAACTGTCTTGGCAGCTCTTTCAAATCCATACACGACGCACCAGGCCATCAGAAAAGCACCATGCCGTTGCCAGACGCAGATACGGAAGTCAAAGCTTCCAGTGATGGTGCGTTTCAACGTTCTCGGAGCTTTGGATTCTATTACTGACGACGCCTCGTTTTTAGCTGCTGAGATCTTTGTCAACAGCTACTATCAAGCTATCAACACCCGTGCCAAACTGGAGACCTTCTACATCAACTCGTCCTCTCGATATTCGATACCGGCCGACATCTCCATCAACGGCTCTGTCGTTCCTACCCCAGAGGAGTACTCCAAGCTACTGGAAACCCAAGGCGAGAATGTGCATTACGAGATAGAGTCGTTCGACACGCACATTATCAACCCTTCATTCCAATATGGGGCCCCGGAAACCGTCTATGAAAGCGAAAAGAACGAAAAGAGCGGGCGGAAGATGAGCATTGTCGTCACGACCATGGGCAAGGTCCGATTTGGCAAGGGGAGGGAGGCACCGCAAAAGATGTTCAACGAGACTTTTGTGCTGACCCCCAACTGGGACTCCATGGCACGAAACCCGGCACGAGGACTGAAAAGATGGCTCATCATGTCGCAAAACTTCCGCGCTCTTTGAAAGTCAACACAGTCAACCTATGTACCATCTCGACGTTTAACAGCTAATACGACAATTAGCTGTTAAACGTCGAGATGGTACATAGGTTGAGCCGCAACTGAGATATCCATACATACGCACACACATGCACAGGATTAATTACACCATACAGCTGAGGTTGGTCTCAAGACGATGTTCGACCTGTGCTCTTTCACCTGAAAGACGCGTGCGAGAGACCAACCTCACGTTAAGACCCTCGTACGCGAGTCAGGGATTGAGCACACTTCGAGCATCGTCTTGAGACCATTCGAGAAGATGATATATTCTGAGTGACATTTTCATGGCTCTGGGCTATCCACACAATTACTATAGTCTGGGATGGCGCATAGTCGCCGTGGCCAAGTTGTTATCAGAGGGACAGAGACCGCAAAACAAATACATACATACAATAGGGCAATGCATAGCGCTGCGAGCACGAGCGCCGCCCCGATTGGTTTGTCACATACAGATTTGTGTGTGATCCTTGGTGGTCTCGGTCTTTGGGGTAGCCGCTTGGTGGCCTGACTTTTGCTTGAGCTTTAATCTGAAATTTATAAGCACAGGAGCTTGATCGATCTATTCGCTGCCTGTAGCTTCGTCAAGACCAGAATTACGCAAAAGGTTGAAATTCATTACAATAAGATATAGAACCTCAAAATAAAGACGTCAAATTCTACAACAGACATGACATATTAATTACCTATGCTGCTCAAGTGTTTTTGCGCTGGAGATGTTTAGGGGGGGTGTAGGCACAAGAAGGAGCGGTCGTGGTATGTCGCATAGGTCAGCTTGGTAATGTTCGTGGTTGATCTGAGTAATATCCATCGTCAACTAGTAATATCCATCGTCTACTGAGTAATATCCATCGTCTACTGAGTAATATTCATCTTCGAGAAACTTTGTCTTATGAGACCCGCTTCATGTCTCAGACAGGCCAATATCCAGGAACCGAGTGAGCGGTGCCGCATAGTAGGCAAAGAGTCTCCCTTGACTGCATCTAGGTGAAAGAAATAATTTATTATAGACTAGACTAATGCAAGGGGGGCATAGCTGATTGATCCTTTCCGGAAGAGCCATGGCTTTCACAGGCTATACGAACAGCGGCGATGCTACTGCCTCTCCCTCCTTCATACTAATTATAAGGGACAGCCTCGGGCCAGAACTTCTAGTGCGTCGCAATATAAAAACTTAATCTACTATGAGTGTGTCATAGGAGAAAGCTGAGACTGACCGAGACATCTAATAGCCCAGAAAAGTATCACACGAGATTGCGATGATCCCAGACCAGACGTCCCTTGACTTGGATATTTGTATATAAGTCAGCTCTCCCATCTCGAAATGCATAGAATTCTTCTGCTGTACACTCAATACCACAATTGCAACAGACGATAAAGCCTTCTACTTTCTTTATTTAAATCCGCCAAAATGAAGTTGCTTACTGCTGCCGCTCTCTTCACCTTGGGCCTCGCCGCCCCCGTTACCGAGTCCAAATCTCACAACATTGCTACCCGCGCCCCTTTTTCCTGCCCAGGCGGCTTGACCAACAGCAGTCCCATGTGCTGCAGTGTTAATGTCCTTGGCGTGCTAGCCCTTGATTGCCAGAATGGTACCGGTTTACTTTTTTTTTAAATTTGCTCTTTTCATGTTACTAGTATATAATAAAGCTTGGTAGCTAATATTTCCCTCTTTCTATAGTTGGCCCGGACGGCTGCACTGGTGCCTACAAACCCAATTGCTGCACTCTTGGATTGGTACGTTGATTCATACATAAATGGGGTAACTAAAACATCACTTTCGAGCATTTGCTGATACTACAACTTAATCCAGGCTGGACAGGGCCTCGTTTGCAATGAACAGTAGATGGTCAAGGACGAAGGACGGAGAGCTTGTGTGTCAGAAGTGTTGTCATACCCACCTGAAGCATGTCAATAGCAACTATGAGGACTTACTTCACTCTTGGCTAGGTCCCTATAATTATTTACAACATATTATCTTATATCTAACTCTTTGAATTCGTGCTTGGTGAAGTCATGAATTTTGCTCCAACATGTTCCATCTTTGCTCCTAGATCTACCAAGATTCAAGGCTTCAATCATTGATTCCAGTGGATATAGGATGTCCCGCATTAACACACCACTGCTTAGGCTTATCCCATGGACAAAGACGAGCATTACTCCTGACAGTAAGAAGTAGGCTCTATATAGGTATGAAACGATATTATCCATAGAAACTGCGTAACAGAGTCATAAAAAAAGTCATCAGTAGATACAGACTCCAAAATTCCGACACAATACAAGCGATAAATGCAAAGTTGAGCGCTTCCCGCATCTGATTGTTCTCATTGTCCTTGCAACGCCGCGCCGCTAGTCGGTCCGGACCCCATGGCGGGGAGAAACCCTGTCGGCAGGCGGCAGCATTATCTGAAGCTCCAACTCGAAAAAAAAGCCCCGCCATTCGCATTTACACCTCGCAGCATCCAATATGCCGCCTAAGCCAAAGGCCACTGCAAAGGCTGCCAACCCAGAGCCCAAAGGCAAGCTTGAAACCTGATTCTACCCTCATACCCAGCATATCTGGCTGTTGTAAACTGCACCGTACCAAAAACGCCAGCTAACACAAGCTCTGTCTCCCGCAGCTACACCTGATGCCCCTCCAGTGACTGTTGGCGAGCGGTCCAAGCAGCGCTACTACCAGACCAACCCTGTCGAGCGGCGATTCGAGGAAGTTGGCTTCCCTGGCCTGACTCCCGCAGAGAAGAAGACGTACACCCACTCGAGACTGATCCTCCCCGTCGCAAACCGCCAAGTATCCCTCTCGAACAAAACCGACCGCGAGTACTGGAAGCAGGTCACCAAAGAAGGCCTCCCCTGCCGCCGCCTCAAGAACAACTACAATTGGGGAACAGACAAGCACGGCCGCGACATCAGCACCTACAGAATCGAGGAGCTCAAGAAGCGATCGCTGAGCCAGGCCAAGCTGACTGCGCTCAACGTCCTCCATCGACAGTTTCTGCTCAAGAGGGACGCCGCTCGCAGCAAAGGCGCCGAGCTCCCACAGGAGGATATCGACGAGGAAAAGAAGAGGCGGCAAGAGATGGCAGCATTGAAGAGAGAGCTCTACGGGGAGATTCCCGGGGCCCTTAGCAACGACCCGGAGTGGGACGATGTTATTCCCATCCCGCAGGAAGAGTCTCAGGATGCCTTGGCGAGGATTGCCTATCCCGACAACTATGCCGAGGGTACGACCATGCAAACCTTGAGAATGCAATGAGAGGAAAATGAAAGCAGATTCAGCTAACATCATCATCCCCAGCCGTCTCTTACCTCCGCGCCGTCATGGCCTCTGAAGAATACTCCCCTCGCTGCCTCCGCCTCACAGAGCATGTCATCGGCATGAACCCAGGCCACTACACCGTCTGGCTCTACCGCTTCAAAATCGTCTCCGCCCTCAAGCTCTCCGTTACGGATGAGATCCAGTGGCTCAACGACGTCGCCCTGAACCACCTCAAGAACTACCAGATCTGGCACCACCGCCAGCTGCTCCTCGACCACCACTTCGCCAACACGCTCAGCTCCGACGCCGAGGCCGCCAAGCAGTTTGCCAAATCCGAGACCGACTTCATCTCCAGGATCCTCGCCAAGGACACCAAGAACTACCATGTGTGGTCGTACCGCCAGTACCTCATCACGAAGCTCAACTACTGGAGTCCGTTTGAGCTCGCCACGACGCAGAACATGATTGAGGATGACCTGCGCAACAACTCGGCGTGGTCGCACCGCTTCTTCATTGTCTTCTCGGATCCGTCCCATTCCACAAAGGGCAGTGCGTCTACGGAGCATGATCCCAAGGTGCCGGACTCCATTATCGATAGGGAGATTGCGTACGCACAGGAGAAGATTAAGCTTGCACCGCAGAATCAGTCTTCTTGGCTGTACCTGCGCGGAGTCTTGGCGAAAGGTGGTCGTGGTCTAGATACGGTGGGGGAGTTTGCGTCGCAGTTCTTTTCTAATCTGGGTGCTGAGGATGAGGAGGTCACGAGCTCGCATGCGTTGGACCTCATGTCAGAAGTCTACCACAAGCAGGGCGATATTGAGAAAGCCAAGCTGTGTCTGAAAGAACTATCAGAGAAGTGGGACCCTGTGCGGGAAGGATATTGGAAGTATCGGCTGTCGGAGTTGAAATAGTCAAGGGGGCCTATATAGACGTGCTTTTATATACGAGTAGTGACTGATTGATTGTCTTTGCATAATGTGTTCTACCATCAGATACAAAACATCAAGTCATCAGATGCGTTAAATCTATTATATCTAGAACTATGATTAGAAATGATTCTTGTTATATCATACAGCGAAAAAGAAAATGAATGAAAAAGAAAAGAAAAATGGTTCCTCAAACGCCACTGCAGCGTCCCAATGCTCATGCGTTGAAAAGCAGTACTCTTGAACCTCTTCCGGCACATGTTCTGTTTGCCACCATGATGTCAAATCTCACTATAGCCTCCAAGCTTCGATTTTATAGGGGCTTGTCTATTCGCTCTCCACTCGCCAGAATTTCCATCCTTCTCTCTCGCCGCCGTCGCCGTGGACTCCGACGAGCTGCTCAACGCCCTCAGTGCCCTGCGCGTTGAGGAACTTGTCCACGTCAATTTCCATGCCGCCTTCTTCGTCTTCTTCGGTGCCGTTCTTTAGGACGGCGGGCCACAGGACTCCCACGCCGTCACCGCCAAGCGTAGTGCCGTACTTCTCATAGCCTTCAGCCTCAAATTGGCTGTCTAGCTTGGCGATTTTCTCTTCCGGCACATTGGGCTTGAGCAGAGTGATGGAGCAGCCGCCGCCACCAGCGCCAGTGAGCTTTGTCCACCCGATGCCCTCGTGGTCTATCAACTCACGCACTCTCTCCAGCCGGGGGTGTGATACGCTCAAAGCATTCAACAGGCCATGGTTGATCGCCATGAGCTCACCCAGTCTCCGTAGGCCTTCCTCGTCTTTCGGATTGAAATCCTTGTCCTCGATTAATTGAGAGGCAGTATCTGTGATGTGGCGCATGGCCTCGAGGATTGGGCCAATAATAGCGGGGTGTGTCTTGTTCAGCTTTCCTATCTTGCCTACTTCGACTGCCGTTGACTTGGCCTGTTTCGTGTCCACAAGCAGGAGTGGTAGTTCGGGGAAGTCCCACAATGGGCGCACAGACGGTGGCTTGTTATAATCTGTTCGCTGGAAGACTACCGCCTTGCCCTGGGTCGCCACGGTGTTATCGACTCCTGAAGGATTCCCGTGAATACACATCTCCGACACAAAAGCCCAACGGTTGATTCGCTCAACCTGAACGCGTGCTTCTTCTGACGGCTGGTCGGGGTGAGGGCCAGAAAGCGTCCGCAGCTGAAGCAGCAGAGCAGCGGCTAGACAGACGGATATGGAAGCGCTGCTGCCCAATCCAGCTGAAATAGGAATTGTGGAGCGCAGAGTATAGAGGCATCCTGGGAATCGTGGTGACCCGAGAGAAAGGAAGAGGTAGAGGAAGGCTGTGACAGAGTTCCGGTGAACTTTTCGAATCTCTTCTGGCCGGTCTGGAGAGACTTCGTCGATGTGCGGCTGCAGGGCATCCAGTAACTCGGGGTCAAGCTGCGTGACCAATGAGAAGTATGACTTTTTCTTGTCAGGGTGCTGAAATTGGGCCCAGGGGAGATTGTCAATATCCCAGGAGTGAGTGAGATCGATGTCGGGGAAGCGAAGCGAGACGGTATGCTTCGACTTGGACAGCGTTGTGACGTGGAGGTAGGATCGTAACGAAATGGCGGCGGCGATGGCAGGCTACACAGCAAGACATGGCTTGTTAGCGATTGATTGATTTCTTGGAATAGTAGAGGTGGTTTTTTATAATTTTCAACGCACCTTGCCATATACAACAGAGTGCTCTCCAAAGACAATCACCTTGCCTGGCGCAGACACCATAAAGGGCGGCGCCATGGGAGCAGATGCCCTGCGCTGCGACAGAGTGCGGTGGTGTCCATTGCCATTGACTGGTGACACACTCCCGTTGGGCTCTGCAGCGTCATCCATCTGGACTGCTTTGGCAACTTTGAACGGCTCGTCTGCTGGCGTCGGACGCTGCAATGTCATGACAATCTCAAGCTGCTACCTGATTGTCAGGGCAGGGTTCTCGAGGCGCGAGGGGCAGAGGTCGCCTCTAGGAAGATCGTCGTCGTCGCAGGTACGCGGTGGTCAGAATATGCCAATGCCGAGCTGTTCTATGCGTCTATACTTGTAAAAAGAGGCGTGAGGAGGAGACAGCTTGATATTGTCTGGCCGCAGGATGGGTGATGCAGAGACTTTGTACAGCACAACTTCTCGAGACGTGGAAGTACAAGGCTGCTTGCTAGTCGTGTGGCTGCCCCCCCTTACGCCAAAGGATCTGGGGCCAAGCACCAAGCTAGCTTTTTGGGATGGTCAAAGTCGAAGCGGCCCAAGCCTTTCCTGAAAAGAAGTCCCCGCACGATGGAATTTAGCGGACTATTGATCTCCAACTGCCCCAAATCTGGAAACAATCGTCAGTAACATGATAAAGCCCAACTGATGCATCTGATTTCTTGCTGCGCGCACCGCTATTTGATGCATATAAAGAGAGATCCCAGCAATTACTACCTAGATTGTAATTTGACATTCGGACATATCTCACATCACTGTGAAAATCCCACAGTCCATCAAAGACATATCACCACATCCTCCAACAGATCAGTCAGATCAATCAGATCGGCCAGATACGAATGCGCAGCTATACACCTTTGATATGTCGGATACGGCCCCAACGTAGCACCCACGATCACGCCTGCATTAGCCAGCCGCTACCAAGTCCCAGCTGCCTCAGCGCAGCACAGTAATGATGAAGCCCCAATTGGAAGAAATTTTGCTGGTGGTGGGCGCTCTAGAGGCCCATTGGCTGGCCTTTAGCCCTGGCCATTGCTGTGCGACAGGGCAAGTGGGGTAATATCCTGGCTTGCTCGGATTGCTTTGGCTGCGTATTCGTATTGGCCGCAGAGCAGTCGGGCATCTAAGCCGAAGCTAGACAGCAACTTTGTGAGACGAGACAAGCTGGTGCGTGGCTGAATTGGATTCGTCGATATATTCCGATCAATCTTTCAGCTGCTCACTACCCTTGGTATTATACCCGGAATAGTCGTTACATTACATAGATGCAGATGAGATATGCCACCTTCGGGGTAATTGACCAAGAAGAGGCCAGCAGTCAAGCACGCAACGTCTTGATTAGAGATTCGGCAGCCAAGTGCCGTACGCTGGCAATGACTTGATATGTAATCTACCCAACTTTTCCATTGCAGGAAACAAGGTCAAATGAATCAACGAAATATATAGGCATTCAAACTAGTTGTAATATCCAAAAGATCCGGTGCGCATTGCGTCAGGGTGGAAGAGAGAAGTCTATGTTATTTGTGTTCATCAAGCAATATGAATCAACAGCTACCATCTATGCTCTCAGCACAGGTCTCAAAATGCTGAGAACTAAGATACACTAGTCATTCAGAGGGAGATATTTTGCAAGGTCTTTGATTCGTTTTGCATCTTCCGATGATTAATAGCAGAGGTCGCCATCTAAGAAGACCTGATAGATCAAGAGAGAGATGGCGACCCCTTTCGTGCAAACTTGTACATCACAGAAATTACAGGCGTATACGCCATCCTTCTCTTGCGAGGTTTAGATCAAACTTGTGTTCGGGCCATCATTTCAGATCTCAAATACATCGTGCAAAATGGTCTGAAGTTGCTAAGCAAAATGAGCAACAGCCCGCCTGGGGCACTCAGCAAATGGGCCGTGTCAAGCAGATAACATAAGAGAAGCGGAAACTCTGTTGAGACGAGGTATCCAAATGCCTTCTACGCCTACAATTCAAAAATGACATCAAATTCGATGTAATTTTTGTTCCATTGCTATTTCTTCCTTCATAGGATTCGGCAGCTCTCCATTGAAAACAGAGTCGCCGAGGGATACTTGATATAGACTTACATTCCTGGATACATACGGTATGCTTTACTTATCACCACACTCACAACTGACGCTCATTCGCCGCCAACCAATCATTATTTATAAATCATCCATTTCTTCACTTTCTATAGCGCCGTCAAGGTGACTTTTCAACCGGTGCCAATCAGCCCTCCTCTCATTAGCTACGGACAAAATAATCATCCCACTCCCATCCACGCCACCTTTAGCAAAACCAAAAAGTCAAAAAAAAAAAAAAAAAAAAAAAAATCGCCGTCCAAAAAGGGAAGATTGCGAGGAACCTGGCCCAAAGCAAGTTTGCGCCCATCGACGTTCGATTTCAAGTGCCACCGCCATCCTGTCACTGCGATACGTCCAGCGACTCTAAAGGGCGGGGGTGATGACGACACAAAACGCCTCAAGCCACCTCTTATTATTTCTGCCCAGACAAGTCGGGCTGATCGACGAGCCTTAGTTGATTGAGGGGGGGGATGAGCTAAAATGAGATCGAGCTCGCCTATAAGGGAAAGTGCAGCTGCTTGCGCGGCCGCGATGCCTTCATGCTCCCTCTCTTGTTCAAACTAGGTGCCCTGTAAGCTGCTGTATCCCACGGATATTCTAGGTTACCGTCTTACGCAAACACCAATAATTCGAAATTCGAGACAACAATTGTCCGCGGAGCCACGGATAGCAGCGTCACTGTATCATTGCCTAGATTGAAGAAAAGATAATCTCGAATGAGATAAAAGGCCTTCGGTTGCTCGCAGCAGCTTTCCTAAATCCATAGTTCACAATTCAATATCATCCAATCATACCTGTCTCCCTTTGTATCACCAGCCGATTCACACACACGCGCGCACCTAGCCGTCATGCCCGTTACCGAGTTTGCCCTCATCAAGCTGAGGGGCCAGTACAACTCCCTCGAGTTCCTCGAGACACTCATGGAGTGTCAGGAGATTCAGGACAATTGGGTCCGCAATAACCAGGCGCACAACCTGAATCCCGGCGCCAACGTGAGCAGCATGTACACCGACGCAACGGACCAATCGACCCTTCTCATCACAGCGCCTTGGGATTCCCCCGAGGCTCACGGAGAATGGATCCAGAGTGCCGAGAACAGGATGGCAAATGGCAGCCTAAGCGAGTTCACAGCACCAGGAGCCGACTCTGTCCTACTCTTCCACATGGAGCCGGCGGGGGCAAGGCCACAGATGCGCGAAGCCTTCAAGCACAAGGACAGCAACGACACTTTCGACGTCTGCCGCATAACAGTCAAAGGCGAGCATCGAGAAGCACTACAACTGAAATATCAAGCACTGGAAGACGAATTGCGAAAGGAGGGTCTGGAGAAGAGCATATGGGCAGGCTGGAGGATTGAAACGTTTGGTGATGATGAGGATCTAGTCGTCTTCTGGGCTGGCAATGTTCTAAAGGAACGATTACAAGGCTTGGCGAGCATTGCCCTCAAGAAGGATCATCGCCGCTTCAGGCACATCGTGTAACTGGGCATTTCACCGAGCACCCCCATTCCCTTTCCTTCTTCTTTCACTTCGTGGTTCTTCATCAGGCGGTTATAGCTGGGACATATAATTCATTCGGACTCATTAATCGGTGTGTGTGCGAATTGTTGCTTTGTTTTGTTTTTTTTGTGTCTCAAATCGTTATATTGAGCTCTATTGCGAGCGCGCGTTCTGAGCACATGAAATGCAAGGTATCCCGAGACGCCCAGTTTGTGCATGTAAACCCTTCTCACGCCGAATGCCACCACCTCCGATTTTACCGCCGATTCATTTTCTTAGTTCTTCTTAGAAACCTCTGCGATCTGCAGGTCTGTAGTTGAAAAATACAATGTTAGCTTTCCATCAATTCTCTCGTGCTTCGATACCTCAATGCCGTCGAATTGGATTTAGGAGGGAGTAAAAGAGATCGGGGGGGCGCATACTAGGAGGAAGGGACTGCTTAAGCTTCTCGGCCTTGTCGTTGTCCTTCAGCACCAGGGTGTAGAGGTGCTTCTGGCATCGGACCTTGAACTTGATGTTGTGGGCCTTCTTGTTCTTCTTGATCCGCGCGGCTGAAAGAAAGCAAGTTAGTTATTGAAGTTCCTTTTTCTTTTTCCCATCTTGTCGCTTCGTTTTCGAATATCGTTGAGATTATATTCCTCCTCCGGGGCGGCCTTTCGGCTGGCTGCATCGAAAATACGTACACGAAGCGTCCTTGCGACGGCAGATCTCGATGAACTGGAGAAAGAAGGAAGTTAGTACATTGTTGATAAAAAAAATAATCGTTTCTTTCTCAATAGAAATCCTCACCTTCTTGATATCAGCGACCTCCTTAGGCATTTTGGCGGTATTTGATCGGCTCTGTGAGACGGGGTTCGTGGGCAAACAGAGAGTACGAAATTTACGATTGGAGATAGCACGGCTGGATTTTTGGCAACAAATTGTTTTTGTGCGCCCGCTTCGCGGGGGGGTGGAACGCACAGACCAACAGACGCACTAGCCACAGATTTAGCTGTGGCTGAGGCTAGTGATTGTGGCTGGTGACTGTGGCGACGAGCGTGCGTGTTGCCGACGGTCTAAGTGGCTTTCGCTGTGAAGGACAAGAATCAAGGACACATTCCATCACTGCGAAGTGGCTAAGTAAGGCAGATTTGCATCTTGCCTCTTCTCTCAGCGATATATAAATACCAGAGATTTTTTCGACGAACCTCAATTTTGCAAGTTAATAACAGGCTCCGTGTGTGGTCCAGACTTCTTCATCATTGCACAATGTCTACTCCACTCGATAAGGCGATGAGGTCCAAGGTGAGCCAAGCGCTACAATACCTAATGATAGGCGCTCATCGAGCCTCATTTTCTAACAAGATATAGAATTTACTACTTGGTATGTCCATGATTAAATTACATCCTGGCTTCTTTCCATCTTTAGTTTAACAGCAAACAAAGGCTTCGGAGCTGTCGTGACCGCAGCAGCAGCGTGGACCATCTTTGGCGGCGACATTTTTCCCGCTCAGGATGATCCCAAAGGCGATCCAGAAACCTGGACCCGAGAGGAGATGCGAAGATGGCTAAAGGCCGTAAGATTTCCTATCTCTTCTACTAAAAAAAAAAAAAAAATAATCATGAAATGTCAGGCTAACCTGGTCGCCTGTTTCTAGAGAAACCTCTTCCCGCATAAGAAGGATACCCGGGAGGAGCTGCTCGCAAGGGTGCTGGCGAACATGAGACATCCTAGGACATGATACTTTTGCTTGATACCCTTCACTTATGTTTCTTTTATCGATGGTTTTTCTTTTTATTGATTTAACGGTGCATGCAATAAATGATGCTTGTATTTTATTGAGAAAAAGGCGAAGTCTCCGGAAGGATACTCCAACTATAAATATGCCCTGACTACCAACCTAAGTACGCTCAGTACATGATATATACTCATCCCTATTAATGAATACCTGGCTTGACTCTAGTTCTCCTAAATTTGATATAGAAAGCACCCCTTTTAAAATCGACAAGCGCATAACTTGACCAGTCATATAACGATATCCCCAGCGCCTACATCTACCATAATCATCTTAATAACATCTGCGAACAACTCATTACGCCACTTTCTATACTATTATTCCCACTTGAACTCACTCAACCTCGCAAACTTGTCATCCAGCTGCCTCCTGGCAGCCGACGTGATGCCCCTCTCCGGGTTCGCCATCTGTTCGCTATAGCAGAGCTCAATCAAAGCCCTGAGCTCGTCATACGAGAAGCTGTTGGGATCAATGGAAAGCGTTCCCATCCCATGCCTATCCTTGTACTCTCTTGCCTTCTCAATGATGGCATCTGGACCCCGTTCGAAGAGTGAGAAATAGCTAGCGGCCTTTGCCAGGTCGGTTCCGTCTTCGACGTTTTTGAGGTTCTGCTGAAGAACGAGAATGTTCAGCTGCATGCGCTGACATCCCTTGTCGTTCATGGGAGACGCTAGAGTAGCATTCTTAACCAAGTAAGTGTTGATCAGGATGCCAAGCCCAGTGCGTATGAACAAAACTTCCTTTTCTCTCAAGAATTGCACAATTGTCTCGTCCAAAACAATCAGCTCTTGGTTGAGACTGATGATTTGGGGATCTGGCTCTCTCACGTCCTGCTCCAGGATATATGGCGCCAAGTCTGGCGACAGAGTGTTTCGCAGCCCATAAATCACCCGACAACGCACTTCCATGTGCAAGGTTAATAAAGCAGTTGCAGCCAGCTCTTCAAAAGACGACACAATGTTGTCAAAGTTTCTACCAAGATTTATTAGCGAACGGCGTCGAATATTTAGATGGTATTATCACGAATAACTTACTGAGCTGATTCTTCTGTGAGAGGAAGCTGCACTTGATTCTGGTTTGTAGCCTTGCTAGGATCACTCAACGCCCACCGCTGTCCTGATTGGCGTGGGAGATGCTGCCGTGACGAATCCGTCTCATGCGCTGTTATATGCCTCAAGCTCTGAATCTTCGCAGCCAGCCACCTCATGCTGTTGTATAAAAGGCACAAGGATGAGATTGTGTCTCGGTCCTGGATAACGTCATTTGCCGCTAGTCGCTGGACGTTGGTCTTCTGAATTAGAAGCTGAACCTCTTCCTGCATCAAGCTGCCATCCAGCTCGTCGGAAAGCTGCTTTGCGATTTCGTTCACTTTCCCAGATTGCACAGAAAAGCGGGCCGATGCTCGCAGGTTGTTCGAGTCAGAGGGTTGATCGTGTCTCTTAGTCACGAGTGATTGGAACCAGCTAAAGCAGCGGTCATAATATCTCATCATCTGAGTGACGATGAGAGAGCTCAAAGCTTGATCCGGAGGAATAGTGCCAAGCATTCGGCAGAATGCTGTAACCACTTGGAAGAACGCGGTGGTTCCCTTAAAGATCGGTCGCTGAGAGCATTGACTCCACGCAGGATCTTGGGAAAAGGAGTCGGCCTCACCAAAAACGGTGTCAGTCAGCTTTCCAAGAGTCTCATCCAGCTGCGGCTGGAATACATTGACCAAGAAATTATCAAGGAAGCTGGTTAGCGTGCTCGTAGCCAGATCAGAACCAGGAGGAACGATATTTTTGAGCCGCTGTAGGAAGATGAGAGTCGGCGGTAAGAGCAGACTCATATTGAAAACGCTTGGCTCAACCAAGGACTTGGAAGGACCCGATGCCTGCCGACTTGCACCATACACAGCGCTTCGTCTTGAACCGGCGTCATCAGCAGCTGACTTGTTCCTCTTGCTATCGGAGCCCTGTTTGCGAGAGCCGCCCGTCAGGCCGGGAACGGTAGCTTGAATGATAGTCTCGAGCGCATCGTATTCTGTAGTGACTTCAGTGGATTTGGAATCCGTCTCTGAGAATTTGAATAGGTGTTCTCGCATGCCGTCTTTGCCACTAGCACCAACTCCTGGTGTAGGAGAATCGAATTGGTAGACATCAGCATCTGTTGTTACATAGTTGTGCAGAAGGGACCGTATCTCATTTTGGTAGAGATTCCAAAGCTCCTTGAAACTGCCAAGCAGAGCAATGTTATTGCCAGAGCCTTCGCGGCGGATAAGAGCCTTGATGGACTCATGAAAAACACGCTGCCCTTCTCCGATAGCCTCGAATTTGCCGTAGAGTGTCCAAAGAAGATCATAAATAACGTCTGCTCGCATCTGGATTTCTCTGGGGCTGTATATCTGAACTCCGTCCAGCTTCCCAATAGCAGCTCGAAACGAAGTTGGGTGCCGCTGCTCAACCTCATTGTTGGTCTCATTAACGACACTGAACAGTTCAACAGGCAATCTGTTCTTCAACGTTTCTACAGCATTCTGTAGTCTTCCCAGTTTGTTCAATGCCTCGACCAATAGAGTCACGTAATAAAACGTGTCCGCCTCTGGGTTTTTCATGGGATCTTCTATCACTGGCCTCTCAAAGTCAATTGAGTCTAGGATCAAATAGAAAGGGGTGACGGGGTTCTCTTCGTTGTGGTTCCCCTCGTTGGCTCCGCCTCGGTTCTTAGCCAAGCTCGACCATCTCTGTTGACAGTACGGAGATTTGAGATAAAGGTGTTCGTGTAGTTCTTCCACCAGAATATCCATGAGAACAGTTTCCTGATTTGCGAGGTAGCTTCTCAGATCACTCAAGGCTCCAATATTATCTAGCTCGGGCTTTCTCAGTCTTCGCAGCGCATTTTGCAACACCTCGACCGCCGTCAAGAATCGTTTCTCGGAGATACGGGCCTCTAGTTGATCGGGAACTGCTCGAAGGTCGTCCAGTTCGTTTAGCGTTTGTAAAAGGTCATCGTAAGCTTTCGACTCCTCGGAGAGAATCTTCAGTCCTGGATCTGTAGCGCACAAGCTCGTTTTTGACAATGACAACGACTCCTTTAGCGCTCGGACTCGCTTCTGGGAGACCTGAATGCTGCTTTGGATCTTGTGGAATGTACCGATCGAACTGTTGAAGCCCTGATGGTGCTCGTGTACGATGTTTTTCAGCGAGTCCTGAAGGTACGTGTGCGTCGTCTGGAACCTGCGGTAGTCGTGAGCGCGACCAACCGAGCTGTTATCCAGCAGCTGGAGCGCCAGCTGGACAGGCACGCAGTCCTCCCGGCACAGAGACGGCCATTCGCCCCTGATGTGTTCCAAGACCTGAGTAATCTGTCTCTCGGCGCTCGTCTCCTGGGCGCGCGGCCGCGACGGCATGTTGCGGAGGCTCTGTGATGACGGTGGCTGGATGTTGTACCGGTCTATTCTGTTCCTACTGTCGCCAAACGGGTCGTAGTCGTCATTCGACCGCCCAAAGTTGCCGTAGCCGTCGCCATTGCGCATCGAGCTGCCGTAGCCGTTGGACATGATGGGCCGTAGAGGATTGTCACCAGAGGGGCCGGCTACGAGAGATCATTGTCGTCGGTACTGGGGAAAAGGGAAAATCGATACGCTCGGGGTCTGTATTTGGGAGACTCCTCGCTATGATTTTGGTCCAGCAGGGAGATATTTCGAGATGCGATATTGGTGCTTCGGTGCTTGTTCAAGGTGTTGAGCCTATGTCTGGTCTCTATAATGCTGGCTGGCACTGGCTGGGTTGATGCTGACGCACAGACCACTGTGGCAGCTAGAGCCACAAGCCCCGCCAAGCTTCAGGCCAATGTTCGCTGTAGAAGAAAGTTGTCACTCCTACTAGGCTATAGGTCTATATTAGGAATTTCTCTGCAATAGTCCAAAATGTTTCTCAGCGCGTTATTACTATTTTCTTAGATAATGTCCACTTATTTGATCATCATCTTTGCGCGCCGCTTTAGAGACAAAGCAAGACCAACTTGTCGATGGCTTCCTCATATGTACAAATCATATCTAGCCGA